TGTGTGGTGTGGTGTGTGTGTGTGTGTGGTGTGGTGTGGTGTGTGTGTGTGTGTGTGTGTGGTGTGGTGTGTGTGTGTGTGTGTGTGGGGTGTGGTGTGTGTGTGTGTGTGTGTGGGGTGTGGTGTGTGTGTGCGTGGGGTGTGGTGTGTGTGTGTGTGTGTGTGTGGGGTGTTGTGTGTGTGTGGGGTGTTGTGTGTGTGTGTGGGGGTGTGGTGTGTGTGTGTGTGTGTTGTGTGTGGGTTGTGTGTGGTGGGTGTGTGTGTGTTGTTGGTGTGTGTGTGTGTGTGTGTGTGTGTGTGTGTGTGTGTGTGTGTGTGTGTGTGTGTGTGTGTGTGTGTGTGTGTGTGTGTGTGTGTGTGTGTGTGTGTGTGTGTGTGTGTGTGTGTGTGTGTCTGTGTGTGTGTGTGTGTCTGTGTGTGTGTGTTGCAGCTGCATGTGGCCAGCTGCCACAAATGCCTACAACTATGCTATTGGATTTCGCTTGGCTGACTTCTCTTAGTGGTGAAAATTGGAACCTTGCTTTGTTGCTCGGAAGTCTGTCCGCAGTTTGCGGCTCGCGGGCTAAATAGAATCCCGCACCTGGCCAGCCCTTCCACTTTTGCGCTGATAATTTCCTGTTGTGCTGGGACTGGACGGAGCAGCCGGGGGAGGCGGGTTTCTCTGGACGGCAGCACGACGACAGTGGCTGTGTCGTACGGCCTTCAAGAACTTGATGAAGTCACGCCCCATTTCCGGGTCGGTTCCACCACCTTAGGCCCGCAAGTGTCGCACCTGTCTCACGAAGCCTCACTAGACCTTGCGAGGGGCGAAGGAGTTCCCCGAAGGACTCGGTAAGTTTGTGGCGGATCTGCATGTCAGCAGATCACGGTCGGTATAGTGACATGCTCAGGGTGAATGGATGCGCATTGCATTGCGCACCTGGTTCGCCTCATGCTCTAAGTCTTGGCATTCGTCCTCACTGATGGTAGGCAGCCGTTCCTGCGAATGGGAGGGTGAGAGGTGGTGAATTCCGAGCCGTCAGATTTTCTCGAAAATCGCTGCCTTCGCTGCCCTCTTGGCACAAAGCGCAGAGCTCGAAAGCAGGGACATTGCTGCCATGGCCCGGGAAGCGAAGGGACCGCCAGCTGAGCCGCAATGGGCACAGTCCAAAGCTGTACTTGGACGACCAGGAACGTTGGTAAACGACCAGCTTAGACGTACGACTGCGCCCCAAGTCCAAGTCCCAACATGTGGAAGTTCGGCGGTCGGCGCCTTGCCAACTTTTTCGAAAGCCTCTGCGACCATCTTGCCGATCACATCCTGGCATACAAAGTGCTAACTGGAAGGCGAAGACGAACTGGAAGAATCTCAAACAGTGCCCCAAGGCCGTAAGTCTGTCAGCTTGACATCGCCATTTGCGGAGATGGTGGCCACCTGGTGCGCCAAACTGCAAGCACGTGGAGCACGACATTAATCTGGGTTTTGGCCTGTGCAATCTCCTTGGGAGAAGAGATGTCAGTCGCTCGCTTTTCCAAATCCTCACGATCCCAAACACTGCGAACCCAACGAGCATGACAAGGAATCGCCTCCAAGACGATCTTGACCGAGGAATCAATTCCTCGCTTGACATCCTCCGAGGCTGAGGAGCAAGTCGCAGATGCTCGCATCAATCCTGAATGAGTTCCGCACCATCGGATTCATTCCTGCCACGACCTGAGAAGTGAATTGCTTGTCGCGAGTCTGGAGACTATCGCGAAGATTCCTTTGTGATCCGAAGCTCAGAACTGAACGGCCTTTGTGCCTTCTCGGAAGATTGCACGGGCAAGCACTGTCGACCTCGAGCTCTTGAAAACCTAGCCCTTCAGCCACGAGAAACGACTGAGATGACCGCGTTGTCGTGCCGTCACCGGCGAGGTCGTTTGTCTTTGAGGCGACCTGCGATGGTCATGTCGCAGCGAAACTTCTCACCAGAAGAGCTGGGCTGGGCCTGTTTGATCAACGAAGCTCCCACATTTACGAGCTTGTTCTTAAATTCCTTAGACAAGGAGAAATGCCAGCGGAAACGAAATCAGATCGCTGGGGCAAATGCTATAGCCTTGGCCACAGTTACACCGTCCTTGGTCACCTCTGACAGCTTGCTGTGGGCATGCATGGGCCAATGGCTCGCGGCCACCCACGGTGGTCTCTCTCTGCGGCCTTCGGAGCCCCGAAACTCTGCTCGATGACCACGTTGCGGCCCTGGCGATCAACGGGAGCGAAGAGACCTGATGGTTTACCGTCTAGGGTCTAGAAAAAGCTGTCATGTGTCACGCGTTGGTCGGCCACCTTGGGGCCGAGTGTAACCGCTACAGCATCAGCCAGCCGGTTGGCTCCTGTCACAAGTTAGGCGCAGACATTGGCAAGTTGGTAGAATCGTTCAAAGCCCGTGTTGCAAATGCAGTCCCACCGTGGAGCATGGCGGCTCTGGCACTGGTTCCATGTCTGATGTCCTTTGACTCCCAACTCTTCACAGTGCTGATCGCTTGACGGCTCCAGATCCTTGGAAGCGAATCCACGAACACCTCGCCGGGCCTGAGCTGATAGCTGAGCATCTTCTTTGACATGCACCATCTGCAAAATCGTGGCCCACACAGCCACAGCCAGGCCGGAGACTCGCATTGTGGAAAGCATTCTCCTGCACCATATCTCAGGGATGTGGAGTCACAGCAGTTTGTGAACACCTGCCTTCAGGCCGGACAACTCGCCGCCAAGTGCGGAGGGAAGCTAGTCCCTAAGACAAAATTGGCTGAAACGGCGACAATTGATTTCGTACAAAAAAACGCAAAATGCACTGCAAGCACTGCAATGGACCGAGCTAGAGGAGCCTGGATCCGCCAAAAGGGACCCTCGGGTTCCAGATATTGAACTCCACTTCTGACCGTCTGACACCAAAATGCACCGTTTCTTTTTGCGCTGACTACTGCCACAAGAAGCCACATCTTGGTAGCCCAACAGATAGGGTCCATGGTGCCCGGACAAATCCAACATCCAATGCTTCTTGCAGACGGCATGCTGCTTCTGTGGACTCTCCCTGCACTTCCGCGTGCTATAGACACGACTGTACTCAATCGCCAAAATCATGCTCGTATGAAGGGTTTGGGCATTGCCGAAACCTTGGAGCTTCAAGGACTCGTGGGGAATAGCTTCCAGGCTGTGTGGGAGAAGCTAGGCAAGGCGGCCACAGGGCCTGGAACCTGAAAGCTTGCTTGCCGCGAAGTTGGAGCCCATGATTAGGGTACATGCATGATTAGGGTACATGCTTTGAAGCTCCTCGCCATGCCCTGTCGTAAGCCTGAGCCTTCCCTCAATCTAGGACACAGATGAGTCAATTCAGCCCCCTGCGTCTCTATGGCAGGCATGGACTGACTGAATAGTCTCGTGCTCGCTTCGGTTACTTCACGGGAGGCGGCTTCCCGATTCAGCTCTGCGGCATGACCAAGCATTACCATCGCGCTTGCACTGCGTCGCCCAGTCAGAATCCAACGCCCAGGAGCTCACAAAGGAAACATTGGCTGCCAGAAAGCCATGGATCCTTCACAATGCACTCTTTTCCAGTTTTGCCTGCTGCTGCCACTGCTGGTCGTCTTGCTGTTCTCACCGGCAAACGCAGCCATGGCTAAAGAACTTCAGAATGGTCGCTGGGACAGCGTTTGGGCCCAAACAGAAACCAACCCAAAGAGGGCCACATGAACTCATATGTAGCTTGGACTGAGCTCAGGGAGATGCCTCGTGCTTCAGGAAGTTGCGATAGTTGAGCTCAGGGTATCTCTCCATCCTGGGCCGGTGGGTAATTGTGTGGTGGTGAAGTTGGATTCAACAAGGCCGGGGCATGACTTGTAGCATTGCGCGACTGCGAAGATCCCTCTCCTACACATGCAGACGGAAGCCAAAATGTCGCTACTGTTCAGAGTTCAGAGCACATTCTGCCTCGCACACACGATCTGTCAGCCGATCAGCCATCCACTGAAGGGGATCCATCAGCGGCATAACCTGGACAGTCTGTTTCTGGCTGACCAAGCGCCTTGAGGGCAGAGGCTGTCCTGGTAATCCTTGAGCTTTGCCCTGTACGGGAGCAAGGCCCTGCCAGCCGTACGCTTTGAGATGCATACAAACAACACTTCAAGAACCCGGCATGTGCTGCGCAGTCACGACGGCCGCCACGAGCTCCTGGCATGCATGCTCTTGTGAGACGGACGACCGTCTTTGCCGAAGTCAGTTTACGAGGCTGCAGTCATACCGTCAGAACCCGCCCCGAAGTGCCGGACAGTTGCTAACCAGCTGCATGGCGTTCTAGCACAGGGTTGATACGGCTCTGCAGTTGAGCAGGTTCATGCCGAAGACGAGGCACGTTCTTCCATTAAAGCCTGATTCGAGACTGTAAGCACGAATCAGCGCCCAAGCTTTCGTTTGGGATGGTTGGAGGCATTCTGACCGCGAGGACTTCCTCTTAAGGACTGAGCTGGACGGTATTCATTGGACTGCACAGAAAGACAGCGTCTAAGAACGACAGATGCAGGGAAAAAACACTTGAAGCCCTGCATCCCGAAACAAGGCGGTAGAGTACAGGAGGCCGTGGGAGCGAGCTGGACGGTCGGTCTCGCTCACGAAGGTTGACACAAGCTGCAACATGCGCGTCGCAGCGTGCATGCCGAAAAAGTTTTCCAAAGGCACCCGTTCTGCATGCAATCACGTGCCGTCATACTAAGAAGCCCTGATGGCACTGCAGCCTTCTGCTTCTTCCGAGACAGCATGGTCGTCCGTCGTGGCAGGATGTACCTCAGATGAGTGAAAACTGAACCAGCATGAGCAGGAACAGTCCTTTTCATTGGCACACCCGTTGTCTGCCAAGAAGTGCTGGATGATGTCGAGGTCACGAAATGTAATCTTTTCCTTTGCAAGCTGCGCCTGACAGTGTCTATGCGCTGCGGCCATGTCTTAATGAGGAGGGAGAATGCCCCTGTGCCTGCAGTGGCGTTGGCTCCCAGAAAGTGTCGGGCAGTCGAAAGGGCTTCGGCGGCATCTCCGGAGCCTCGCTGAGCGAAGAGCACGAAGAGCGCATGCAGCAGTGAATCACCGCGCTACACGACGTGCGACGTGCGTGTCACGCGTGCGTCAGGTCGTCGGCCTCGCGCTTGTGGTAGTTGCGGAAGGAGGAGGCGTAGGGATTCCGAACCGAGGCCATCCTGCGAAGCGCGGAGCGTGCTCCCATGATGTGCTCTCCTCTGCTCTCGCCGTTCCCTTGCCATTGCCTGGCCAAGCTTCTCTTGATTTGGATCCGAGTCTGCACCAAGATTAAGCTGAAGCTTCAAAAGCACGGCGAATCACGCTGCATCAGTGGCACCCGCTTGGCTTCGGCAGCACCGACAATTTTCTGGTACTCGTCGAACTCCGCCGTGACCTCCACACAGGTCAGCCAGAGCCACGGCTTGACCCGGACGAGCAGCACTTCGCTGTGCAGGCGCCTGCTGCTTCAGATCTTGCACTTGGTGAAACGGGCTCCAGTACGGATCGATGTTGTGCTTAATCTCATGCCTCGGGCAACGTTGCGAAGGGATACAAGTATGAGCTTGAGGATGGCACGAAACTGGAGCCAAGGGATCGCACGTTTTGGAGTCGGACGCGACATCTCGTTCTGCATCCACTCGTGCGAAGATCTGCAAACGACCAGAGCAGAGTTGACACATCAGTGGTTGTCCTCTAGAAACCACAAAACTGGCAAAGCCTTCCTTGTGAGCTCGATTTCGTCTTGCTTGAGCTTGGCTATGGGAATCGTGTCCTCAGGGGATGCGGAGCCCTTCCCCGCATCTGTCAGCACGGATGCCAATTGAAATTTCTCAGAGCACACCGAAAGACCTGAGTCCCTGGGCAAGCTGGCGGAAGCCAGGATCAGACTCTGCGGACAGCGCAGCCCTCCTTGCACGCACCTCAAAAGACTGTGCTGACTTTCTCTGTTCGGAAGCCATTTCAATTGAGGCCAGCTGCTCCGTTCACCAACTCCTGAGCACAGCAAGACGTTCCGGGGGTAAATGCTGTGGCCTTCGAGACTCCACCGGCTCCATGCCTGCACCAATGAGTCTGAAGTGCCACGGTGGCTGACCTTAGCAAACCCCTTCCACCCGGACTCTGCGCCCATGAGCGATTCTTCGAATCAGCGACAACCACCCAGCATCTTGCCAATCAGTGATCTTCCGGTCGGCATATGTTTTCTTTCTTGTGAAGAGCCCCGGTTGCTCCGTGACGTCTCTCGATTGCGAATGCAAAAAAATCAACTGACAAATATCCTGTATGGTCCAATGAAGGGTCCGAGGGTGTCGAGGATGCCCGCCTTCGCCTCCTGCATCTCAAGCCGAATTTGGTTTCGGCGGCCCTCCTGTCAGGCTCAGAAAAAGGGCAGGCAAAAAGAGCCGTTCTCTACCCTTCTGTTTTCCAGGCAAGGCTGTTCGCCGCAAAAGCCCCAGTTTCTGGGGTCCGGGCTGCCGGCACCGTCGAAGAAAATCTCCATCTCGAAGCCCTGCCGCTCCTACTTCACACATGCACGTACTCTCCCAAAACCATCGCTGCGGAAGCGGAAAGTACCTGATTCTTCCTGAAGAGTCGAGGAACGAAGCAAGGAAGTGTCAAGAAGTGTCACTGTGTCCCATCTTTTCGTTCTCTCGCACATTCTTCTCCCACTTGTTTCGCAGAGTTCTTCAATTGCGAATGAAGACCACTTGCTGACGATGACCCTGTTCGAGGAAAGGCTTGCAAAGTCACAAGATGCCTTCTTTGTTCAAGGCACCACCTCCTGGCAAGTACACAGCAAAGCGCCGACCAAGTTGCAGCGTTACTTTCGGCCGCTGATACACCGGGCAGCTTCAAACCGAGATTGCATTGAGCTTCTCCCTCCATCGCACACCATTCATGTGCGGAGCTACTTCCTCCTCTTCTTGGAACTCCTCGAGACAGCACAAGAATCAACAACCCATGTTAGGACAGCTTTCGAAGCGGCCTTGTGTCGAGCCGGCAGCGAGACTGCGATCGGCTGCACTGGATCGCTGCAGGCATGACAAGGGTCCTGGCCTTGGAAACTGCGAGCGCCTAGACAAGGTAGGTTAACAGGATAACAGATGGCAGATGGCACAATAAAGATGACACCCGAAGCGAATGCAAGGAAGGATGGCAACTGCACGATACGGCGGCAAAGCCGAGCTTCTGCAACTTGGAAGCACGCACTTCGGTTCGCGCAGGTGCAAAGTGTCTTGGTCATAGCCAACCTCTGGAACTCACCCCATCCAGTAAACATCAACCGGGGCTATGCAAAAATGTAGGCAGATTGCTTCATGTTTGAATGTCCCACTTCAATGTGCAAATGAAGCTCTCTCTCTTCTTCTCCAAGGCATAGAGGGCGAGTTCAGCTCGCCGGGCACTTGGCTCGCCCATATTGAGCTTCTGAGGGATTGAAAGTTTTGGATGAGTGAGTCGACCGAAAAGGTAGCCAGATTATGTTCCATATGCCAGTTTCGGTCTCATTCATCCAGATTTCAACGCTCAATACGTGATTACACTCGTTCCGCCAGATGGAGTCTCTCTCTCTCTCTCTCCCTGTTCCTTTCTTTCTGCAGGGCGTAGGGGTCGCGCACGACCCTCAGGCCTTAGGCCCGCCCAGCTCACCCCGTGGTATGAAGTGGCGGCATTGGGGCGTTTCCTGATTACTCTTTCTCTCTCTCTCTCTCTCTCTCTCTCTCTCTTTCTCTCTCTTGTGCTTGCTTGCACTGCGTTTGGGGTTTTGGGTGCAAGCCCCCGTCCCCCTCCGCAGGCTCGCTACGCCTGTGTCGGAGTCTGGCCTGCTCGGCGCGAAACTTGAGTGTGTCTCCGACTCCCTGCAGCCCCTTAGCTCCCGCTTAAGGCCTCGTGGAGGCTGTGCCCGATTGCTCGCTGCTAGTTTTTCTTTCTTCTATCTATCTATCTATCTAGCTATCTCTATCTATCTCTATCCCTATCTCTCTGTCTCACTCACTGCAAAGCAACGTAAAGTGCCCTAAATGTGTTGAATCGGTCTCCACAACATTAACACTACATCCATTCTCTTGTCTTCGCGCAGCGTCACAGCGTGACAATGACATGTTTGGGCATGATCCAAACACTGCAACGGACTTGAACATCATCCGAACTCTTTATTAAGGCGAAGCAAGGACAGGTTTCAATGGACCTGATGACTAAGTCGATCTCGTATTGAGATTAGATCTCAGCAGTGGTGGGTTGCCCCTCTCCGGCCAGACTTCCTAGAATGACCGGTTTGCGAGACACCTGTTACTTCGTGGGTGCTTCACATGACAATGTCACTTGCTGTCGACCGCCGCTTCCATTCTCGTGAAACTGCATGCATTCTGCGTTCCTCGTGCTGACTCCAACGCTTTCCAGGTCTTTCGATCCTCCTTGCCAAAATTTCACCATTTCCGAGTTGCATCTGGGCTCGTATGCGGCGCTAATGTCGTCAATTCATCAAACAGACTCGAATCAGATTGGTGTGCCAGCGTGCCTGGACAGTCTCTGCGGCTTCATGCTGGTCAACACTGGCACGGCTGCAGCAGCCGATGGACGGCCATAGGCCGGATGCCGCTTGGCCTGCATTCTTGGGCTTAATCTGTGGCAGAGCAAGTCATGTTCCGTGCTCGGAAGACTAGTTGCAAATCGGTTTGTCGGCAAGGCTTCGTAGTGTGGTTTGGGTATCCAGCGTGATTTGTCACTGCTTGTATGAGCAGCCCTGAATCACCCTGAAGCACCAGTCTCAAGTGAACCGACACCCGTCAAGTTACGCCACTAAGCAAAGCCACAGACGAGGCCTGAGCCGCAACATGGCACGGAGGCCGATGGCATCTTGCCTCTCACAGCGACAGGGCATAAGGGGTCTAGGGCCTAGACCGAGACATGGTTGCAGTTCGCAGGCAAGTTGCCACCCAAAGGTCTCGCTGTAAACCGATGGCCCAACTGAAGGAGAGCTTTGCCTTCACGTTGAATCAATGTGGACCAAGGAGGTCTGCGAGATGTCGCGCGTTCCTCGTCAAAGGCCCATTGAGGCACCTGTAAGTCATGGAAGACGTAGTCCGGAAGCGAGAAGAAGTGGGTTGCAGGCAATATCAGATAGCTCACATCGTTCATTAAGTTTGTGTTATGCGATAGTGCTGCCGGCGAGACAAGCAGTTTGCGCGTGCTGATCGCAGTGTACAGCAGCTCGGCGTGGTGGAACCCAATCATATTATCTGCTTTGCCATGAATGAGCAAGACCGGGCACTTGATTTTCGGAGCCAGGTCAATGTTCGGATACCAATCTTCAAACAAACTCGACAACGGGCCTACCCTGTCCTTGAAGAGGTCAGCGATAGAAAGGAAGGGGGTGACCAGGATTACTCCAGCAAAACGGAAAAGTGAGGCCAGCTTCACCGCGGGCCCCGTACCAATTGACCGGCCAAAGGTCAAAGTCAAAATGCTGTCCAAAGGCCAATGCAAGCTTTGCGTTGCAAAATGCAAGGCGGAAAACGAATTCTCCATCACTGTCTTGCCAGTGGCCACACCCGGACACAGACCATAGCCTGGATATTCCACGGCCAACACATGCACCTGGAATTTTTCTCGCAATAAGCGACAAAACGAATAGCATTTGCCCAGATCCTCCGCATTGCTGTGAAAGAAAAGGACCAGGTATCTGCTGTAAGGGTACGTCAACAGCAAGCATGGCACGCTGTCAACTCCGACCGGTGGAATGTCACCGTCCAGCGAGCTTCTTTTTGGAATCCATACGAGTTCGTTGGGAAAACTGTCGGAGGAGTAACTTGGCTCTGGAGCTGGATAAAGAATCCGTGTCAAGAGGCCTCGTTCGAGCATTTTTGCACGTGCGGCAAGTCTGTCAGACAGAAGCGCGAATCTTCCATGGCAACGTAATGAAAAGGAGAGCACTTCTAAGGCATCATTGAAAGAGACTGCTCATCGACAGCTTCCAATAACCAATCATACCCGGAGTAACAAAAAGTGCGAAGGTTTCATGGAACCAAGCTTTGATCACACATGCGGTCACACGTCGCGAGTCCAGGACTGTCTCGACAGATTAAACAAGCAAGCACACAGACACACACACACACACACACGGAGTATAGGTTAACACCATGCACACTTTCTGGGGAAGATCTTGATGTCGAGGAGGATATTGCCTATGGGTCCTGAAAGTTTAACGATGACACGTCAGTGCAAGACGCTCGGCTTGCCAGGTTTTTGGCTTGGCGTGGTTGCCATTCCGCTTGCAGGTACGCACTTGGACGTCTCTGAGTGTATAAGGTGCTGAAGTCGCTGCCCGGTTCTGATGTGTGCTCCTGGCGTTCCTGGAGCACTTCCAAGAGCGCGTTTGCGACTGTCTCGCGTCGCGCTTCGGCTGATTGCGTGGTGTTTGTGGGTGCGTCTGAGTCAGCCATGTGGAGCAAAATGAGGCGGTTACCAAACTGACGGATGAAAACTGCTGCACATCAAAGGTACCTGGCAAATCATCGTATATGCTGTCAAATCATGATTGCATTGAATCAGCCAATGTTCTTTTTGCACGCACCGTGGGGGAAGCTCTGTTGACCCAAGCTCCTATTACGATGACCAATCAGCAGTGTTCTGTCTAAGGTGGCTCTCGAGCACATCAATCTGCGGTTTGCAGCTAGAGATGAGTGCTGCCATCGTCTTAAAAAAGTACTGGTTTGCTGTAGCAAACCCTCTAGCTTGAGGCGTGAATCACTCATTGCCGGCTGCAGATTCTCGATGCGCTGAACGATGTCATGAAAGTAGACCTTGTCGCTGACGGCTGGGATGTAGGAGGCGGATATGGCGGCGTCTGTGGAGGCTGAACCTGCTCCGGTGCTTCGTGTTCTTGTTCTTTCATCGAGGGCGTCAAATGTTGAAAGCTAAGTCACAGAGTGTGCGTCAAACTTGGGCCTGCTGTTGGAAGGTTGGGAGCGGTGAAGTGGTAGAATTGAACGGTGGGTGGTAGGCGGCGGCGACGCAGCTTTGTCCAAATGGATTTTAGGCTGCTGCGTGGAAGAATCTTGTCGCACGTTGGCTGAGAGATGCCTCGAAATGCTTCTTTTCATGTGGGGCGCGATGTGGAGGAAGTTCAGCTTTGGCTGGAAGTGCTGTGTGAAGGTTTGTTCTTGTGCCTCTAGGTGTGGTAAGTTGTACTGCACACCTAATGGAATGTGTTGGCGATCGTTGTTGTGCTGTTGCCACCAGCGGAGCGAGAGTTCCGCATCCAGTATGGCATCTTTTTGTCGTTGTCTGAATTTGCGATTGCGATTGCTTTCTCGTGCCTGCATGTTGTTACGTGCGCAGCCGATGCGTATGAATCGGCGGTGTTTTCGATAGGCGGTGACGCGGGCGTACACCACGCCTGTGCTGCTGAAGTGCTCAAAAGTGTAAGTGTTGCGGTGGAGTTGGCTACAAAGACAGTGTCTGATTGTTTGAAGGTGGCTGCGTAGCTGTTTCGTGTGATATGTGGTCGGTTGCAGAACTGTGCTTCTGCCTAGCAGCCACAGGCAGATCTCCTTTGCTCTGTTGGATGAGGACTCCGCCTCTGGCAGCAGGTGGCAGGTGTTGTAGTGTGGCGATAGTGTTGTTGGGGCGGGTGGTGTGCTGGTGGAATTGGACGCGTGCCGTGCACGCGTAGCCCGTGAGCATAGTCACTGAGTGAAATGGGCGATCACGCTGAGGACGCGGATTGAGTGAAATTCTTGAAGTTTGCGGATGTGCTGCTGAGGAAGACCCCAGGCCTTCACGTTTTTTCTGGAGCTGCTCAAGTTGCTGAGATGTGAGCTGGATACCGTCGTAGTGGCTCCTCGGTGTGCCGCCCATATCCTGATTTTCGTTGTCTGCAATCTTTGAGCGCCGCTCCAACGCTGCATGCCCGTGCCAGAAGCGGGCTCCTGTGTAGTTCTGCGCGAACCAATATGATGCTCCTGGCGGTGGTGCGAAGATGTCGTGGGTGGCCTGGCTGGGGCGCCAGGATCTTTCTGCGTTTTAGACTGGAGGTTGGCCTGTCCGCAACTTTGACTGGTTTTTTGGTGGGCTGGGGCGGTGGGGATGGTAACAGGAGAGGACTGTTCGTGTTGGATGGGTAGGCCGGCCTGTGTGGTGGGAGAGCGGAGCAAGGCGCCGGTCGTTTGCACGGTGGTGTGGATTTGGCTGCCTTTCGTCTGGTTGTGCGTGGGGGGTCGTGCAAGTTGAGCTTTTGCCGCTGCGAGCTCTTGTTCCAGTTGTGTGGTTCGGCGGTTAGAGAGCTGGTCCGGTGTTGAAGCTGCGTTGTCAGGTTGGTCGTAGACCAGGCTGCTCAACAAATTCGACGAATTCGTCGGCGAGATTGCCTGTCTCCGGTTGGGTTGCATATAGGTGGGATGGTGCACAGTGGGCCACGGCGATCCTGTCCAGGTCCCAACGGTGGCAGGTGAAGCGGGACAGTATTTTAGAAAGGAACATGCATGGCCTGAACCATGTTGCGTGCGCAGACGATGTTCCTCAGCCAGTAAGAGGCCCAGGAATGCCTCGTGATCGCAAGTATTGGGAGGGTCTCGATGGGGCAGTGGGCAATCCCCAACTTTTCGGACCAAGCTGTCCGTTTCACGAGTCTGGGCAGATGATGTCCAAAAATTGCCCGGCAATCGTGGAAATCCGGGGAAGCCACGAAGTCACTGGGCGCAGGTAGAATGTGGTAAGTTCACGGGGCGATGGTGGGGTGGTGAGTGGTTGTGAATGTAAGTGGATTGTTGGGTGGCTGTGGTGGGAAGGGTGGCTGTTGTGAGCTGTGGTGGCGGCGCTGATGATGGTGCCTGTGAGTAGCATGTGGTGGGTGGTCTATATGTCCATGTGCCGGGATGGCCCGGTGGTGCGGGCGGCGGCGGCGGTGCTGACTGCACGCTTACCGTAAGGTGTCTGCGCGGTCATGATCTGAGCCCTGACAGTTCATTCGAGCTTATGCAGCAAACGATGCACTGAGAGCAGAGGGTTTCTCACAAAGCTGCTGAATCGCACTTGCAAAGCTAAGAGGCAGGCTATTTTTGGACGACCCACTCACAAAGTGTCACTCTGAGACTCTGAGCTGGGAGCAAAAAAAGGTGTTGGGGCATTCTCTGAGGAAATGACAAGCACATTAAGTGGCTCGGATCAACATCTTAGCGCAAGCAGTAGATGAAGACTTTGTCTTCGGGCTTGATGCTGCGGGTTGAGTGTTAAGCAACCCGGTCAGATGTTCTGGCTGAGGCCCAGGTGGATTTAGTATGTTGTTCGACTCCTCTGTAGGATCCAACTAGTATGATGTCGTTGCGCCTTAGGTTTGCGGAGGATGTGACCTGGGCAGATATCGGGCGACCACTCGGACGAATTGCTGGGCGTCCCTGCGCGCCGTAAAGGACGCAGGCTTCAGCCTTTCCTGGCACAGCGCTCGGTCTGACCTGGAATTCGGCCAGTATCTCCACTGCAGACTGAGAGCGAACGTGTAAGTATTTACGGACGGTGGTGATGTCTTCCACTACTGCTCCGTAACCCCGAAAGGGCCTGGCTCTTCAAAAGGAAGCCTTCCCGTATCCATGCACGCAGCCTCGTCCTGTTGCACCAACATCCCTGAATACAAGTGTCTATCTCCACAAATCGTAGTACTTGCAATCCTTCGCTGCTGAGAGGATTGTTGGATGCCAAAAAAACCTGGGCTAAGCTCGACAGCTGGTCCTTTGCAAAAGCATCCGTGCATCCAAGCTCGGCATATTTCTCTGCCAGGTCCTCGCCGTCCCTAACGTCATATGGCGTCATCTTCGGTTTTTCCGACGCTGCTGGCTTCACCTGTCGGCTCGGCGGCGGAGAGCCTTCCGAGGAAGCGCGTTGAAAGGCCTGACTGGCGGATTGGTCACTGTGGCCACCCACGCTGCTGCTGCGGTCTTGCTGTTGTCGCGGCGGGTTCCTAATAAGAGCGACCCTCTTGAACTGCTGGCTGAGAACGCCTTGTGCTGGGTGTAGCAGCACAACAGCATGTCTGGAGGGGGACCTGCTCTGTGTGGAGTGGGATCGCTGCGCGGCGCCACGTCTGGACTGCGACGTCTGGATCTTGGAGATCGGGATTTGGTGCTGCGCCTGCTGTCTGCACTGTGGCGGCACCAGGATCTGTTGCGTTTGTGGCGTCTGCGCCGGAGTTGAGTTCTGGTCGGAGTGCGACGGCGGGTGTGTCGGCACCGGCGAGGCTCATGCGCATGTGTCTGCTGTCACCTGCCAGCGGCGCTGGGTTTTGCAGAGAGCTGTCGGCTTGCGAAGGAGCCGATGCCTGTGATGGTCCAGCCTGTTGTTGGTGAGCAGGTGTTGGTGGGGTTGAGGAGCCAAACTGCCCCGGCGGTGGCTGGTGTGGTGTCGGTCTGGGTATTTGGCTGTGGAAGTGGAGTCATGTATGGAGTGTGAGGTGTGTGGGTTGTCGTTGATTGTGGTGAGTGTTGCGTTTGCCACTGAGGGTTGTGGATTGGTGTGTGCATGTGCATCTGGGCAAATGGTCACTACCTCAGCCTCAATACGGCCAACCAGTCCCCACACCTGATGGACTACCGCAGATTACCGCAGACCACTCATATGCAAGCACCAGCTTCCTTGCAGCAACAGTATCAGCCCCCACCGATCACACAGGGGTGCTAAGCACCACAAAAAAATCAACCCGACATCACAACAACCACCACAACAAACGATGATGCCCGATAGCCCACAACTCACCACTACCACATCACCAACGGCTGCAGTGTTTGCGGCTGCTGTTGTGGCATGTTGCCATACTGCGCTGGGGCAAGTGGCCCTATAAAACTTAAGCTGTGCTGCATTTGCTTGTCGAGATCAACTGGCCCATCATCTGCGGTGATGGTTGCTGCTGTTGTTTTGGCACGCCGCCGCACCGTACTTGGGCAAGTGGCCCTGTCTGAAATTGCAGACTTGCTGCTCTCCTGGATGTTGCAACTGTGTGCTCGAGCAATATTACCGCAGTAGACGTCATGCCAGCTGCGCATGCACTCCTGCACAAAGTCGGAATAGAGAAGGGTCTGTGAAGTACGAATAGGCGAGACAGACTAGCCAGCGGAGGTAGCAGCTCGCACCGATCACGCTAGGCTACCAGAAGTGCATGACGACCTGAACATGTCTCGTCCTGTGGCGGATGAGAGGGTCCGGTGATCTCAGATTAAGGGGGCTTCGGCCTTCGAACCGGGTGGGCTCATGAATACCTACATGTTGAACAAGACAGATGGGAGAGAGAAAGATGCTCCCCTACACTAGATGACAACTGTGCTTGTGGTGCTGAATCATGCATGCAGAACCATCCTGTATGAAACAGATTGCTGCAACCGTACAGATAAGCAGGTGCAAAACCCTTCGACCTGAGCTGAAAGTGGATGCTATGCTTGCACAGCGATGACATCAAGAGATGGTACCATACCTTGCTTGCAATATTAAGATGTCACAAACTCTGTTTCAGGTACATACCAGGACGTCTCCCGGTGCATCACCAGACTCAATGGGTGTCTTCGTTGGCAGCGATCCCAAATACTCTGTCGCTACTCCCTGTAGACACTGATCGAAGCAGTGCAAAAGCTGTTCACATGGAAACCTGATGCAACAAGCAGGCAAGGTGGGTTGTGAACCCCTGATCTCATGAACGAGAGAAGTGCACACACACACACGCACACACACACACACACGGACGGGGGCACACACACACACACACGCACAAACAGCTGCAAAATGCCACAAACGTGAACTTGCCTCAGGCTTGGAAACAGCCGCCGCTCAGCTGCCCTGCCACATGTCACCAGACAACTGAGTGAACCTGTCTTCTGCCTGCCTTCGTGCCGACCACATGGAAGAGCCAGGTCATGGATCCCGACAGGCAGGAGAAAGGCTCTTGTGTGCAATAATGCGCGCTTGATTGGACTTGAAGCCGTGATAGGTGTACCTGCATGTATAAGACGCGTTGGTGTCCTGGTGTCCATGAGATGTTGATGTAGCACGATGCCGTTGTAAAATTGACTGCAAGGGTACATAAACAACATGCCAGGATGACGGAATGGTGGTGCAACATCACACGCTCCAATAATCCACCCACCCCAGCAAGCTGGGGGCGAGCGCTGGTGAAAGGCTTTTGCCACTCCCTCCTTCCAAACCCAGTCGATTCTCTCTTCCACCAAACCATCACCTACCCCTTCGTCCCCACCCCAGCCCCCACCTTGTCCTCCCCGCCGACCGCTAACCAAAAACGCACTTTTCCCCGTTTCCGGGGCCCAGAAGATAACCTTGTCGCAGCCAGATGTTCATGAACGCAATTTTGTTGCATAAAAAGGCATCAAACCCACTCTTGCACTATACATTAACTGGTATACTGCAATGAAGTGAACTGTTCATTTCGTGCATTCGGCTTATTTCCTTACAATGAAGTGCAATATAAGTGTTCAAGAACAAAAGAAGCAGCCAAACAACTAAAATGCAGCGTGAAAGAACAAACATAATTATGCAATCGCTCTGTGTCTTTGTCCATTCGTTTCTCCTGTTTTCTTCTTTCGTTTCGTTCATTTGCAATGAAAAGCGCGACGGGAAGCTGAACGAAAGAAAGAAGCAACGTAGTGAAGAGCTGGTGCCTAGTTGTAGGTAAAATACAACACGCACACCCTGCACGACGTTTGGATTGAGACTTAGGGGTTTAGGGTTTTCAGCCTTGGCATTTCACAGCATAACAACAAATTCACAATCTGGAAATGCATGAACCCTGCAACCAACAACACACGACGCCTGCAGCCCTCAAATCCCTGACCCCAACAACCCTTCCCTCTACCTGACAGCTTGCAAACACAAACGCCAGAGCCGTCACCCCAAACCCCCAACGACCTTGCACACTGACCCCTACAACCCTGCACGTTGTAACACCAACAAGCTCCGACGGTGTTGGCTAGATTGCGTATCTCTAAGGCTGGGGATCGGGCCAGGCATCGGGCAGGAGTATACCACCACCACGACCACCAGACCAGCAGCACCACGAGAGGCAACAGCGGCAACAGCAGTGACACACAACAGAAATAGCAAGCAAGGAGGAAAGCCAACAAACGGAAGTTTGTCGGTTGCGCTACGGTGAACACAGCCCGTGCAAATGTGCAACTATGTATGACCACAGGAATCTACACACCTGACTGTCGAGAAAACTACCTGTGCAGGACCTCCACTTGCTTGCCGAACCTTGCATGTAGATTTTTGAAGATAGCGCGAGGATTCGGTCCACATGAATGCTTGACACAATAAGTAAGAACCACCTCTCGTTAGACGGCCATACAGGCTACGACGATTCGTCAGACAATTGCTAGGTCGCAAGTGCACAGCCATCGTTTGCAGGGCAGGGGTGGAAAAGCAGATCACCGCAATCATATACCGTATTCTCATTCGAGCAACATAGGCAAAAGAACATAGCAAGATAATGACCAAGGAAGCATACGTATGAGTACGAGCGACATAGCAACTGCAGAAATGAAGTCAACCAGCAACCAAAAGCACGGACGATGAAGAACGAAAGAAACAGGGAACAAAGGAAGAAGAGAATCGGCTCAAGGAAATGCCATGACCGCCAAAACTGCGGTGCACGGGCTTTCACAGGTCATGCAGGACACTGCACTGTACTCTGCACTACCTTCGACACGAGGTGACAGCAAGGCGTGTTAAATTGAAATCGAGCCAACGTAGTCGGAGAGTGTTGCAAGTGTGCAGCAACGCACATCTTCGGCTTCTGCTGTTGGGATGCAAGTTGATAAGGCCAGCGCTGGTGTCTACATTTGCATTTACTGGCTTCAAGTCATGTGGCCCGAAAGAGTATCATTGATGGCTTTAGAACGAACCTCGTGAAATCACGGACATTCCGCCTCAGTGCAACCCTGGCAGTCCAACCCGAAGCATGTGTGAGCACAGCATGTGCGACCCTTTTGCTTCGCAACCTTCGCATGAGATCAGTCTACACCAATGACAGTATTCAATAGCAGCTACCACAGCGACATATCTGCGACAACCTCACCACAGCTTTTGCTGGTCTGACAGTCCTCATGTCTGCGTTTGAACGTTGGAACTTCGCCTGTTTGCTTCATGCGGCTTTCGGTGGGGATGCCGCACACCACAGCACACTATGTCCACTCAACTTTCTTGACGTCGAGCTTCCAATGCCCGCCGTCTATGGCAGCTTCTTGACGCCGTTCGTGTCCAAGGTCTCCTTCATGATCCTGACCTGAAGCTAGGCAGCTTTTTTGAGCAGGGCAGCGCAAGGCCTGAGACTTTAAACTCCACTGGGCAGCTCCTCGTAGCTCTTTCACAGGATGGGAAAGGCTGGCTGTGTTGTAGCTGTTCCGACAGCGTAAATCCCGAAGAGGTACATCTCGCTGCACTTGGTGCTGTAGACACTATCGTGCCAACATGTTGGCTTCGACTCGAGGCTTCGGGTGGTGGCAGACTGCGCTGTGCCGGAAGCTGTTCATTTACCAGAAGCAAATCATCTGGGTTGTAGATTGAGGACTTCGGGGCTGTCAGGGTAGTGTGTGGGATGCTTGGGATGCTGTTATTGGGAGTCATGAGAGACAAGCAGCGAAACTGATATCGGATTCGGTCAGCTATTCTCGAGAATTGCATGCCGCTGTCTATGGGAGACTTGGCAAACATAGCATAGAATCCAGAGCCCGTCTCAGTCTAGCAGACATAGACATAGATGCAATTCACATACACGGATCAACATGTTTGACAGTTTTGTGCTGATGTTGAACTCCAGCCGTCAACAAGCGCCGTCTCCACTCCGTACTAGTAGCTTCCCATGGTTCGTTTGGCCGAGAACCGCCCACACGACATACCGCATCTGGACTGCGCTGAAGCGATGCTCAATTATGTTACCAGGCCTCTGCGTAGCTGACATGTCACATGCAGTCGGCATACGATCTGTTGCCCCTGAAATTTCGCATACAACGGCTTCAAGGCTGGAACACAGCCCGTCTCACCTGCTCCTGCAACTCGCTGACTTGTGCTTTCAATGCCAACACCTGCCGAATCAAACTGGGAGCGGCCAAACCCATTTCTGCGCGGGTGCCTCGTGCCTCCGTCTTCTCAGAGTTCTCTCTGACAGGAGAACGTGTTGCTTGGACTGCTTCCAGGGTCTTGCCAAGCCTTGCGTAGGCCATCATTTGACAAACAGATCGAACTCTGCTTTGCTTTACATAACATGCAGTCTTCTGTTGAAAGCTTTGAGACGGTGTTGAGTGGAAAGCCTCTTCACCTCCCCACGCACGGCAGTCAACTCGTCTTGCATTGCCTTCATGCACCTGTCATGGGTCGAAAACCCGCAAATCCCGCATAGTGCGCATGATACTTCAGTCTCTCAATGCGCCAGACAGGCTGTTGAAAAAGCGACGGAATGTGGCTCGAGCGCAAGTCCTGAACTTCTCGTCGAAGCACCTCCGAAAACCCGATGAACAATGCCTCTGGCAGACCCAATAGTGCAGCTTTGACTTGCTCGTGACATGTTGTCTGACTGTGACCAGCCACCAGACAGGAAGACGCGAAAGAAGCTTCTTACCTGCAGCTCCTCTTTCTGATCCAACTCGCGACACCTCAGCAGTTGCAGGATCGCCTTCAGAGTGGACATGAGCGAGAAGCCTGCCGCAAGACTCCAGGCCCGTGCCCGGCATTCTCTGCTGGTAAACTCACAGGTGGTTGTTGGACTTCGTGCCGATGGTGTTGCCCTGACCTTTGAGAGATCTCTTCTATCACTTGAGGACAGTTGCACACCTGTCACCCAAACTTAGGCCCCAGCACATCAACCTCGTAACTAAGGAAGGTTCCGCACATGCTCTGCTCTACGGCACTATAGCACACAGACACAAAGACACACTCGATCAAAATCGGGTATTGCACCAATGGACTCCCGCCTGGCCAAGGGTCTGCAAGGGAGGCATGGCACCGGCACTCCTGACATGCCTGGCGAAACCGAGGTATCGACATCATGCCGGATCACATGGACTAGACCACAACTCTGGCATCGAGCCGAGACCACCATGCTTCCACGTCCCGGCCCCGCGGTGAGGCCTGGAGCTGCCGACCTGCTTTCCGGAATTCCGGTTCTCTGCGGTACCCGTGCCAACCGTCTGCACGGTACCTTGGCTGCGCAATGCGTCGCGTCGTCGCCCTCTTCACAAGTCTCAGATTTCTGAGCGCTTCCAAGCAGCAAGTTGAAACAGAGCCGTCCGCGGGCTCCAGCGGAGGCAGGTCCTCGTCTTGCCCGACCATGTCGTGACAAGAAGTGGTGCCGTCCGCGGACTTGCCGTTGCTCACGGCAGTCTTCCGGCCTTTTGAAAGGGTTGACTCGCCAGTGTCCTTCCTCGACACACTCTGGCAAGTGGCGACCGCCGGGCCATTCCGACTCTCTGAGGCCATCTTCTCTAAATTGTCTGGTTTCACTGCCAGCAGCTGACCAGAATCTAACTTCACGGGAAGTCGTCCCTTGGTTGCTCGGTCGAAGCTCTGGAGCTTCCCTGTTTGTCCGTCCAAGCCAGCCTTGGAAAGCCCTTTGAGTCGGACCCTATCGCCTTCTAGAAGCGATAATCCAGCTGATGAATCCTGCCCTACATACTCCAAGGGCGGCATATCATCCACCTCTGCTTGCTCTCTGTGTGCAATGGGGATCGCCGAGCCTCTGCCCGGAGATGCAGAACCTACATACTCCAACGGCAGTATGTCTGAATCAGCAGCTTCTTGCCGCACATCAACAAAACTGCCATTGCTTGCAGAGTCCAACTTGCAAAGATTTTCCGGCTTGATGGACAGGCGCTCACCTGAATCTAGCTTCACGGCCAGCCTGCCCTGTTTCGATTGCTCGAAACTTTGCAGAATGCCTTTCTGGCCGTTGAGCTCTTTCTTGGACAACCCTTTCAGCGTAACTCTGTCACCCTCGCGCAAAGGTACCTCAAGAGGAGCACTTGCACCCACATACTCCAGTGGAGGCATGTCATCCTCCTCGTCAGGCTTCAACGCCGGAGATCTGCTGGACGCAGCCGGTGTGTTGCCCACGTACTCTAGTGGAGGCATGTCGTCTTCGTCATCAGCATCTTGACGACCGTTCTGAGTGGTATTGCCTTCCGGCGACTGGCACTTGCTCGAGACGCCATTGACGGCAGCGCCACCTACATACTCCAAAGGCGGCATGTCTGAATCAGCAGCTTCTTGCCGCACATCAACAAAACTGCCATTGCTTGGGGATTCCATCTTGGACAAGTTCTCAGGCTTGATTGATACGCACTGCCCTGAATCTAGCTTCACGGCCAGCCTGCCCTGTTTCGATTGCTCGAAACTTTGCAAAATGCCTGTCTGGCCATTGAGCTCTTTCTTGGACAACCCCTTCAGCATAACTCTGTCACCCTCGCGCAAAGGTACCTCAAGAGGGGCACTTGCACCCACATACTCCAGTGGAGGCATGTCATCCTCCTCGTCAGGCTTCAATGCCGGAGATCTGCTGGATGCAGCTGGTGAGTTGCCCACGTACTCTAGTGGAGGCATGTCGTCTTCGTCATCAGCATCTTGACGACCGTTCTGCGTGGTATTGCCTTCCGGCGACTGGCACTTGCTCGAGACGCCATGGACGGCAGTGCCACCTACATACTCCAAAGGCGGCATGTCTGAATCAGCAGCTTCTTGCCGCACATCAACAAAACTGCCATTGCTTGCAGAGTCCAACTTGCAAAGATTTTCCGGCTTGATGGACAGACGCTCACCTGAATCTAGCTTCACGGCCAGCCTGCCCTGTTTCGATTGCTCGAAACTTTGCAGAATGCCTTTCTGGCCGTTGAGCTCTTTCTTGGACAACCCCTTCAGCGTAACTCTGTCACCCTCGCGCAGAGGTACCTCAAGAGGGGCACTTGCACCCACATGCTCCAGTGGAGGCATGTCATCCTCCTCGTCAGGCTTAAATGCCGGAGATCTGCTGGATGCAGCTGGTGTGTTGCCCACGTACTCTAGTGGAGGCATGTCGTCCTCGTCATCAGCATCTTGACGACCGTTCTGAGTGGTATTGCCTTCCGGCGACTGGCACTTGCTCGAGACGCCATTGACGGCAGTGCCACCTACATACTCCAAAGGCGGCATGTCTGAATCAGCAGCTTCTTGCCGCACATCAACAAAACTGCCATTGCTTGCAGAGTCCAACTTGCAAAGATTTTCCGGCTTGATGGACAGGCGCTCACCTGAATCTAGCTTCACGGCCAGCCTGCCCTGTTTCGATTGCTCGAAGCTTTGCAGAATGCCTTTCTGGCCGTTGAGCTCTTTCTTGGACAACCCTTTCAGCATAACTCTGTCACCCTCGCGCAAAGGTACCTCAAGAGGAGCACTTGCACCCACATACTCCAGTGGAGGCATGTCATCCTCCTCGTCAGGCTTCAACGCCGGAGATCTGCTGGATTTAGCTGGTGTGTTGCCCACATACTCTAACGGGGGCATGTCGTCTTCGTCATCAGCATCTTGACGACCGTTCTGCGTGGTATTGCCTTCCGGCGACTGGCACTTGCTCGAGACGCCATTGACGGCAGTGCCACCTACATACTCCAAAGGCGGCATGTCTGAATCAGCAGCTTCTTGCCGCACATCAGCATGACTGCCATTGCTTGGGGACTCCATCTTGGACAAGTTCTCAGGCTTGATTGACACGCACTGCCCCGAGTCGAGCTTCACGGCCAGCCTTCCTTGCTTCGCTTGGTCAAAACTTTGCAAAGTGCCCTTCTGGCCGTTGAGCTCTTTCTTGGACAACCCCTTCAGCGTAACTCTATCACCCTCGCGCAAAGGTACCTCAAGAGGGGCACTTGCACCCACATACTCCAGTGGAGGCATGTCATCCTCGTCGTCTGACTTCATTGCAGAATCACTATCAAATCTGCGAGAACATAATGGCATGCTCCTAGCCTGTCTAGTCTAGGGTATACCTGTGCGAGACTATCAACAGCATGGCCCTGTCAGCATGCACAGGTGTCTTTACCGTTTGCCAGACACCTCACGGACATGATTCCGAGGCACAAGCACACAGCAGGGAATCTGAAGCCAAGACATTCGGCGTCGTTAGCATGTCTGGTCGTGCGAGATTGCGCGTGGGATTGGCGGTAAGAAACTTCATATTCCATGCTCATCCGCACAGTCTCGGCTATTGCAACAAAGGCGGATGTACGAAAAGCATGTTGTCCAGATACATGAGGCTTCGTCGAAGCTGCTAACTCCTAATGCCTTGGGGGCGAATGGAAAGACTCTCTCACTCCACTGAGCATGTCCGAAGGACAACAATGGACAACCCAACCAATACTCTGAATACTCTCATTGGACAAGTTATTTATATCGGCGCTCACCAAAATTCATAATAGCGCCAACTCAAACCGTCGTCGGGACGTCAATGCCTGAATAAGCCTTGCGTGACTGTCCAAAGCTCACTGCAGACAGCATGGAACAGCCTACCAGCTCCGTATGGCGAATATTCACAAAGTGCCACGAACATCTACGGCAAAGCCGGGGGTGGGACGTGACGAACGAATCATGCACAGCTCAGACGTGCATCAACTGCTCAACTGGCAGAAAGAGAAACGATTTCATGAGTTTCAGCAGCAGCCTGCACAACAAACAGGTTCCGGGTCAATCTCGCTGAACAAGGAATCTACAACATATCACTCCGATTGAAAGCTTTTGACAAGCTGGCATGCATTCAGTCGGCTAACTTTCCGAACTGTACACATGCCGCATCAACCCAACTTTGTCGAGCTGAAGCCAAGAAACAAGGCCTCTACCTTGCTTTAGAAATCATGATGACATCATGCTGCGGCGTGAACCTTAGCACGGGGTGGTATGCAAAATTCGACCGGAGCATGATGCAACCCCACAAGGAACCATACAGCTTGCGACCTCTAGTATCTCGGCACCGACGACAATGCCACCGTCTTCGCCCAAAACCTCACCCGTGGCATTGAAACAAAGCGAACCGTAATTCTGGGCTGTCCAGCCGGGAGGCGTCCTTCAACTGACACAGGTCATGCCTGCACGACTTCCACAGATCGGACAAACTCTCCATGAGATCTTAACGACACATCGACTTGTGGCAATAACCCTGCCTTCCCTGATCACGGCCACCTCGTGCAGTGTTTGCCTGCAGACAAGGCCCAAATTGTACGAAAACGGCGGCTGGCGGCTTTGGCCTCCAAGACCGGAGAATACTTCATTCCTGCAAAGAGCCTGAACCTGACGTGGCAGATCATCCCAGACCTCTCTTGCATTGGCCCAAGAACGGCATGTCGAGATGCGTGCCGGACATTGACATTCGGCATGGTACACACCAGATAAAGACCTCAAGCTGAAGTACAAACATTCAAAATCTGTGCTGGTCAGTCGAACATCTGAGGCAACCACTGCAGAATCCGGGCGCTTGGCGCAAGGGGCTCCCATCGGGAAAAAACTTCAAGCGGCAGTAGACCCCAGCGACCTGGACTTGAGTAACATGCTCGGACGACGCTATCAGCCCTTCAGACCTCCATCTCACCAGTGACCAGAAGAGCTCCGGCAACCCCTGCACACAGCTCATGAGCAGACACTGCACACTGCGGCCGACAGGCCTGGCGCTTGGAACACCCTCGCATACCGCATCCCTCGCTTCGCATGCGCTGCAAGTATGAGTTTAAGGGAGGTTTTATCCCGTCTCTCCGCACAAGGCCTGGACCCTCTCTCTAGGACACCGTCGCGAGATTTGGGGGCCGGGGTCTGGCATGCCCCAACAACAACCCACCCAAACTCCGACCCCCAACCTCCAACAGCCGAGCCTCCTGCGAGACAAAACTAATCAAAACCAGTCGACCAGAAATTCCGCTCGGCCAATCGGGCATGCGGTAGTGATACCCTGGGTACCCCACGTGGCAAATTGATTCATGAAGTGTCGCCGAAGATGGCTTCTTGACTGCAGCAAGGGGCCGAAAGAAAGGCCGGAACCCTTCCAGACACTATCAGCAAAGTTTGCATCTGCACTAGCCACAGGTGCATGATCATAAAGACCTTGAGAACTACGAGGAGACATCAGGTTGAAGTCAAGAAAAGGCAGGATTCACATTGCAGGGTATGTTCCTTTGATGCACACTCGTCGAGTGGATCGTGAACTCCACTCTGTGCTATGGTCATAATTTCGAAGGAAACAAATCTAAAGATGTGTCGAATTCGAACACCGTACCAGTCAACAGCCAGGGACCGAGGCCACGCATTCAACCCGGCCCAGCTGCCAAAGGCTTGGGGGGCACAGCTTCTCTGCGACTCACTCATCTTCAGGACCGACAAAGAGAAGGAAGTCAAACAGAACACCAGGTAAAGGTGGCAAGCATGTTTTTGTTGCAGCATCAGGTGTGCGAAAAACGGGCAGACTGGTTGTCCAAAACCCCCAGCAAGTCCTCGCAAGACTCTCAGGTGCTCGCACCCTTGGAAAAGACCTAAAGGGACGGCTGCTGTTGTTGATGTTTTTGCTATCACTGGTGGACTGGTACGGAGTATGGACTTGCTGTTCTTGTGCAGACTCAACTTCCGCAGGATGGGACCTGTTTGCGATGGCTGTTGGCGCGCAAAAGCGGGCGAATGCCAGACCCCACGCGAAAAGCCGAAAAGAGAAAAGTCGAAAAGTGACAGAAGATAAGGACTTGTGCGAAAACCAGTAAACTCGAAAATGCGGAAAAGATCGAAAGTAAAGAGAACAGTTGAACAGTGCAACGAAAACTTAAAAAATTGAAAAGCCGCGAAAAACTCGCAAAGTGCAGCAAGACGCGAAAGCCGAAACCCACATCCCAAAAGCCAATCTTAGAAGTCGAAAAAAATCAAAGCCGCGAAAAGTCGAAAGGTACAACGGAAGGCTACATGTCTAAAAATCAAAAGGACGAAATTCTGGAAAACGATCCAAAACGTTCAAAATCTATAACCACCGAAGAAGGGCAAAACTCAAAAAGTCTAGCGCTTCCGCTGAGTAGTTCGCCCAACCCGAAGACCCAGCTCGGCCAAAAGCAACTATGCTTTGGATACTTATTCCAGGCTTGGATGAGCCCAACATTGCTTCAAACTCAGCCAAGACTTGGCACTTGGTGGTTCCCAAACCCGAAACCTAGGTCCAATTTGGTGCCGCCGGAACCACGAGAAGCTCAAAAGTCAACGAAAGGTGCCATTAAGGGTTCCTGAAAAAGAAAAATCAAAATCAAATACCAGAAGGGCATTTCACGAACGCAAGGTTCTTGGTTGGCTCATCAGACCCGCAAAACAAAATGATAGGTGTCACGAGTGGGGTTTTTCGAACTCGAATTTTTGAGAGTTTGAGCGTATTTCATGCTGGACTAGCTTCGAGAGCTTGAAAGATTCAAAAGTTTGGACAATGAAAAGTTTGAAGTTTGAATATTTGAGAGTTTCGAGTTTGAAAGTGGGCGCGAGTTTGGAGTTTGAAAGTTTGAAGAGCAATTCAGCTTGGAAGTTTGAAGCCGCGGCAACGCGCATTGCGCGAAGGAGCACGGCGAAGGAACGCTGGAGACGCGTAGGGGTTCACATAGCAGCCCTCAGGCTCGAGTTCGAAAGTTTGAGAGCTTGGAGTTTGAAAGTTTGAAACCTAGGAAGTTTGAAAGTTTGAAAGATTGAAAGCTTCGTACTTTGAAGAATCGAAAGTTTCAATCTTTGGGGGGTTGAAGGCTTGAAATTTTCAAACTTCGAAAGCTTGAAAGTTTGAGAGTCGCGGGGTTCGAATGCTTGAGATGTTCAAAGTATGAGAGTTTGGGAGTTTGAAGGCTTGTAAATTGGACGAGTTTGAAGATTGAACGCATTGAAAGTTTTGAGTTTGCTACCATGTTCGATTTACATAGACAAAAAACAGTGCTGGAAAGACAGATAGATAGACAGCTAGATGACCGAAAGATAGGTAGCTACACAGAAGGATTAGACAGATAGATGGATAGATAGACAGGTAGCTAGACAGAAGGGTAGATGAATAGTTAGACAGAAAGATATCTACATAGAGAGGTAGACTCATAGACAAACAGACGCGCGAATGGACAGGTAGATAGATCGATAGACAGATAGAAGGAGAGCCAGATGCACAGACAGACAGATAGATACACAGACTGATTCAGACCTCCGCGTTACCCACGAGGGAGTTGCCACGTCCTCGAAAGCCAGAGGCCCTGAAGGGAATATACCTTCAACTGCATCAATGATAAACCCTAAACCACAACACCCCTGAACCCTAATTCTTAAACCTCGGGGGAGCTGATGATGCCACTAAGCATTACGATCCGTAAGGGCGGTCGGAGCAGAAGGATGCAAGCACGCTATAGTTTTGAATACGCATAAGGAGGGGTATGTTTTCGGTTTTTTTTGTTCTTTTGCTGGGGGGTCCCTCCGAAGGCCATGAAGGAAGGAAGGAAGGAAGGAATGCCGGGAGGAAGAAGGGAAGGAAAGAAGAAAGGAGGGAAGGAAGGAAGGAAGGAAGAAGAAAAAAAGGAAGCAAACAAGGAAGGAAGAAAGATAAGAAGAAACGAACGGAGCCCGGAAGGAAGGAAGGAATGACAGGAGAAAGGAGGGAAGGAAGGAAGAGAGGAAGCAGGGAAGGAAGGAAGGAGAAAAAAAGGAAGCAAGAAAGGACGGAAGGAAGATGAAACGGAATGACGGAAGGAAGGAAGGAAGGAAGGAAGGAGAAAGAAAGGAAGGAAGATAAAAAGGAAGGAGCCGAGAACCCCTACACCCTCAACCCAAATCCAAGTCATGCGAAACACACTACTACAAATAAAAATCATAAACGTAAGACCAAGATACAGTCATTATATCAAGAAACTGCATCACAGCAGCAACAACAACACTGACCATATCGTGAGCAAGGGCAGCAGCAACAGTATTACCAACAGCAACAAGTACAAGCATTAGAAGTACAACTACAAAATACATATGTTGACATACATCTGTATAGCGAAGAAAACCAAAGCTTAATTTGGAAAGTTTTGCGAATTTGCGAAGGGGGGGGGGGCTTTAAGGGGGCTTAAGGTGGGGGCTGAAGGGTTATACATGGGTTTGAACCTGGGTTCCAAACGTAGAACGAAGAAAAACAAAGTAACAAAAGCGTATTTTGGAAAAGTTTGCAAATTGGGGGGGGGGGGCTGCGCCCCCCCAAACCCCCGCTGTTTTAGACTGCAAACTCCCGGCTCTTATGCCGCGAAGAAATGAATAGAAACGTCCTTTCCATCACACATAAAGGAGAAAGCCACACGAAAACGCTTTAGGGGGGTTCAAAGTGCCAAATAGAAATAATCATAAATGAAACGTCTTCTGAAAGCGAAAGCCAGACGTATTAATTAGGGGGTGAAGCTAAGAAAAACAACAGTTTATTTTGGAAAGGTTTGCTAATGACGACTGAAACGTCTTATCCGACTGCGCAAAAGGCGAAAGCCTTGGTGAAGGGTTCCAGATCCTTGCCAGTGTGACGATAATAAAATAACCGTAGAAGTAACAAAAGCATCAATAATACTGATAATGATAATGAGAATGATAAACAGCAACAATAGCAAGGAACAGCAATCTGACTAAGCATAATAATAATAGTAGTCATCGCAAGAAGAACAACTACAGATCCAAAAATAATAAGAATACCACTAACACTAAAAAGCCATATGATAATGAAAGAATAGAGATAATAATAACGATAGCAGCAATAATCGGAATTACAGCAATACTAGCAATTACAGCAATCATGACACTACACCACAGGAAATATTGTAATAACAAAAAGAAGAACTCAGAAACATGATGAGGATAAGAATGATACAGAAGAAAGATAATTACAAGACAGTAGGAATAACAAGAATACCAGTAACAGTAACACCGGAATAACCAAACAAGAACAACAACAAAAAATGCAACGAGAATTTATAACCATATATAAAAAAACCTAACAGCAATAAGAACAGTCATAAGAATAGAAAGACAAGCGTATTGACAAACAAGGGCATCTACAACTACCATACAACGACAACTACAACCACAACCCACAACAGCAACAACAACTACTACTACTACTACTACTACTACTACTACTACTACTACTACTACTATTTATTACTACTACTCCTACTCCTACTCCTCCTACTCCTCCTACTACTACTACTACTACTGCTACTACTACTAGTACTACTACTACTTCAACAACAACAGCAACAACAGCAGCAGCAACATCAACCCCACCAACAACAACACGAACACCACCACCACGCAGAAACAACACCAACACAACCACAACCACAACCACAAGAAGAAGAACCACAACAACAACGACGACAACGATAACTACGAATTTAGCTTCAACTACATTACGTTTTCAACTTAAACTACAACGACAACAACAACAACAACTACAACTGCACGGTAGTCTCCGCGGTTGGGCACGAGCATAAGCTAGTGCAATGCCGCTTGTGTCATTTGCCACCACATGCTAGGCCTTTCGAACTTTCAAACTTTTCTAACTCAAAATGTTGAACTTTCAAACTCTCAAACTTTCGAGCTCGCAACTCGGCGGACTTTCGAACTTTCAAGCTCGACGCGTTTCAAACCTTCAAACTTTGCAACCTTTCAAACATTCGAATTCTCAAACTCTCGAAGTTTCATTCCTTTCAAACTTTCGATCTCTGAAACTTTCAAATCTTCGAACTTGAAACCTTTCGGAGTCTGAAACCTTCGAACTCTCAAACTCGTCACCTCAGCCTAAGCCGCAGAGCGAATCTGAAGCCAACCTTTCAAACTCCGAACTTTCGACCTTTGAAACTGTCGAACTTTCAAACCTTCGAAAATTCGAACTTTCTAACTTTCAAAGTTTGAAACCGTCGAACCTTCGAATTTGCAAACTTTCAAACTCGCGAACTCTCAAAGTTCGAAGGCCGATCGAACTCGACCGCGGCGAAAGTTGGAAGTTCGAGTTTGAAGCAGCCAATCGAGCTCGAAAGTTCGAAAGTTAGAGAGATTGAAAGTTTGAAAGTTTCGAGTTTGAAGGTTCGAAGTTTGACGCCCTCTAGCTTGTGCACACCAAGCTGCACAAACTTTCGAACTCCAGCACTTTTCGAACCTTCAAACCTTCAAAGCTTGAAACTTTTAAACATCAACCTCCAAACTTTCAAACCTTCGAGTTCGAACGACCTCACTCGGGACACCATTCCAAAACAAATGGAAATGCCTGTGTCTTCGTCACTCTTTGGTACTTTCGGAAACACGAAATACTCATAGCTCATAAGTCATTGAAGCTTGCTCTCGTGGTTCCCGAAACCTTCACAAAAACACACCAAAACACAGTCATTGAAGCTTGCTTTCGTGGTTCCCGAAACCTTCACAAAAACACACCAAAACACGGATGGCTCCGTTCGTTTTCGGTTGAGAATACCAAATCACTGAAACTTGCGAGTCTGCGGTTCCCAAGCCTGTTGAAAGTCAGCCGAGGTATCCCAAAACCGAGCAATAGAAAACTGCGTGCGTTGCTGCTTCTTGAGTCTACTTAGAAAACCAGATGCAAACCATGCAGCCGGGCGGCTCCTAAGACCCGAACAACAAACCACAAAACCGTATGTTTGGCTGCTTTTGTTCAATATGGTCAAATAACACTCACTGAAAAAGCACACTTGAAGAGTTCGCCTAATCCGAAAACGCAGCAAACATACGCAACTCTTCGGAACTTTCCGTGCTTTTCTGCTGTCGAACTTCATTTTTCTTCGCACGTTTCTGTACGTTTTCGGGTGTTTCGGCATTTCGCATTTGTCTGAGATTTTTTCGAATGCTCGACACTTTTCGGCTTCGTCAATGTTTTCAGGGTTTCACACAACAGCTCCACCCAGGCTTCAGCTAGCCCCAGAGCTGGTGTTAGAGTAGGCCTGATGGGTAAGCAACGGCTGCTCGCGGAAAAATATGCGAAAATGTAGGTAGGCCCCGGGCTAGGTCTGTGGCAGCAATAAATCGAGCAGCAGTTGGCAGTAGTCGCAGTAGTATTGTCACTAGTTGTGGCAGTAACTTTGAGCAGAATCGAGCTTAATGGCAAACTTTGCTGAATGTCGAAACATTTCGGGTGCCGCCCAAGCCACCAATAAGTAGCCAAAACAGAAAATGCGCAGACAAACGAGGAAGCTTCCAGAAAAGCACCGAAAAGTGCAAAAAGCACCGAAAAACACAAAACTCTACAAGTCAAACGGAACGAAAAGCACCGAAAAGTTCGAGCAGCACAGAAAAACGCGAAAAGCGAAAACTGGTCGACTTTTGTCGATTTAATTCGGTTCTCCACTTGTCGAAACCAACGCCTGCAAAAGGCTAAGGCGGCTCTCAGCTTGGGCTCATGCCTGGAGCTTCTCTCGCGGCCTACAAGGATGCAACGAAGCACAGAGCAGCAAATGCCGACGGCCGACGGTCTGCCTGAAGGGACTTGGCAGTCAGCACCCACTCCAACTGTCAGCACGCTGTGCTCATGAAGGCGTTTCACATGTTGGCAGGGGACCGGCCTTGTTGCCAACCACGGCTGGAAAACCCGACACCATGGACCTTGTCGAACCTGCAGCAACGCACACACTTGAGCAGATGGAGAAATTGAAAGGCAAGCATGTTGAGCTTGAGCGTACGCCTCTGTCGTTCCTCTCCCCGGGATTGTTGGAACGAGGCCTCACCTGAACTCGAAGAATTCTAACACATTCTTCGGTCTCTTCGGCGCGTCTCCCTGCACCTGCCCATCAAGGCTGCGCCTTTGTTCTGGGCTTCTCTTCCGACTGCTTCCTTGGGACCAGTCCAGCACGTGATCCGAAGCCGGAAACGCCGCAACTGAGCCGTCGACGAGGTGAGCGCGAACTTGCCATGGACGTGGTCAGCTTCACGGCACTCCGGACGGCCTTGGGAGCCGAAGTCGTCTCCGTGATGGGCACGGCAGACGGCGGCGTGCCAAAGAGGCCTCACGCAATCTTGCCGAAATGGTTCAGAACATCACGAAGCTTTGCCAAGCTATCCTCCCGGATGATTTTGTAAATCGCGCGCACATACACAGAAAGACAGTGGCAAGGAACAACAGAATCGCACCAACTTCAAGCAGCCCACAGCTCAAAGTTGACACATCCATGAATGCCCTCGAAGCCTTGTCGAATCAAGCTGACTGTGTCACATGCGGTTCGTGAGCTGGCTAAGTCCAATCTACTTCTCACCCCGACATTAAACACATTTTTTCCAATGTATTCTCGGTACCGCAACACTGCACATGAACAGCGAAGTGGTGCAGATGCAGCGGACATTTGGCCACGGGGCCTGTGATTCGAGTGAGAACATATCCACAATCTGGAATCAAATCGTCGAACACAGCTGGGTGCACACAACCCAGCTGAAGCACACATGTTCGTAAGCATGAGGTGGCATCCACACCGAAGCTCACTCACCTACCCCGGGCGGGCGGGCGGGACAAAATTCGAGCTGCACACATCCAAAACTGCGGAAATGCAGCTCGCATGTGTTGCCTCAAGTGCACACATGCACATTCACAGAATACTAGGAATAAGGTGCTGTCTCGCAAGCGAGAAGGCTTACTTATTCCAATGTATTCTCGGTACCGCAACACTGCACATGAACAGCGAAGTGGTGCAGATGCAGCGGACAACCCTTCTCTTTTAACACTGAGCGGGGCCTGTGATTCGAGTGAGAACATATCCACAATCTGGAATCAAATCGTCGAACACAGCTGGGTGCACACAACCCAGCTGAAGCACACATGTTCGTAAGCATGAGGTGGCATCCACACCGAAGCTCACTCACCTACCCCACTCTAGAGTGACGGAGGTTAGGCGAGAGTAAAAACACTCCGCGACAAGTTGGAGTAGGCCACACGCGCAAGCTCTCCATCAAGTTGACGAACCTTGGGTAACATGTCCGATTCCTTTCCCCTGCTGGGAGCATCTGCAACATTGCTACACGATGGTACGCGCGCACACCAAGGTAAGATCATGCTTCGCTCGCATGCAGTAGCAAATGCATGACATATCCTGGTAATGGCCCAAGACTTGGAGTAACCCTTAATCAGGGAAAAGCGCGACCCCTCATTATCAATGTATGCCACCACCTCAGCTGAGCTTAAATGCTCGCGCCACACGTCGAAAGCCACCGCTACTGCAGCAGTCTCTAGCTCGCCGATGCCGGTCTCGGCACCGGGTGGTAGCAGAGGCATGACATCATCGGATGCTAATGGAAGGCAAAACCAACTACACAGCGAACCCTGCGGAGAGATTAGAACCCCACCTAAACCCCCGGAGAAGTCAGGCTCAAAGGCAGCGTCGGTAAAGACGAACCACGGCAACCCTAAGGACCTAGCAATCCTACGAGGGGTGCCCTCCCGAATCCTAAGATCGAGGAAGTCAAGGGCCATACGAGTGTCACCATCAATCCTCGCCTCGAATGGCCAGCGATGCACATGATTGCTGATTAGCTTTAGGGCAAGCTGACCAGCGCGCCCCATCACCTGGGCATTGGCGAAAGCGAGTTTGCCCCTGAGCTCCAACCCTTGCTTGTAGGAGAGCTCTCCCCGGTCCAGCACAGCAGATATCAGGTTGGATACGTCATCCTTCCTCTTGACTGTGTTGTCTACGCTAATCACACCATGTTCCGTCTCCGTCAAGTCGAAAGATACACCCAACGCAGATACATGCCGTGAAAACACGTCGGCTTTCGGTCCTTCTGAGTCGAAGACCCAGCCCAACAATTTGAACAAGAGTTCCATGGTATCTCCCGTGTTGTCTGCCAAATCGTCAGGTGAAGCCACAATGAAGTCATCATAGTAGGATGTGGTGGGTATCAACAGACACTTAGTGGCCAACCATTGTATGCACCTAGAGCATCGGATAAAGCCGTTGACAGATGCGCGGGCCCCGAAGGGCAGGCACACCTGTGTGAAGAGCATGGTCTTCTTGGCGTGTGGGTTATACACTGCCAGCACAGCGAAGTTTCGTGAAGCTAGGGACACACATAACTGCCGATAAGCGGCAGTCAAATCAAATGAGCGCCCCATGAGCTTGGAGCAACGCTTGTTTTTGGCGAGGCCCGAACACAAGTTGCTGAACATGCAAGCGGCGACATCCACTGTGTCAACAGTTGGTTGTTCCAGGGTCGTGACGCATGCGTTAACCCCACTTCGCGAGTAATCGTCTATAGGACGGAGCTTCCCGCCCTGGCCCTGAACCAGAGGGAAGCGGTGGGAGACGACATCTGTATCCCCTAGCTCATCCCAATCGTATGGCCCTATGAGCCACCCACGCTCAACCTCTTCAAGCGTTTTGTTCCATAAACGAAGGTCTTGCTCTGCATCGCCTGAAGATCCAAGTGACAATTTGAGGGCCTCCCTGGCTCGCACTGTTGTGGAGACAAGGTCGTCTGGGTGCATGGTGGCCGGTGTGATCTTTCCGGGAAGCACGTTGGACTCCGGTGCCCGGCCCACCAGATCAAACCCTGCACGCAAATCCGAAGCCAAGTTGATGTCCCCGTACCCTTCCGCCGCAATGATTTCATCAAGCAGTTGCAACCTTTTGCACGACATGACAGCGGCCATATGCGGGTCGGGGATATCCCAAGCCGGATCTGGGTCGAGTCCTATCTCTTTGGCACGCTGTGTCCATTTGCGCAGCCAGCGGCTGCGCCTCTTGATAACAGCTTGCGGGGAAGCTCGCGAAAGCATGTCCACACACCACGAAAGATGTTCGGGCATGGCTCCTGCAACGGCACGTGGGTGGCCTGCGTCCACTGCTGCACGTATGAACTCAGCCTCTGTGTGAGGTAGCCCAAACGTAAGGTCATGGGGCAGCTGTGATGGAGGGGATTTGGCGTCTACAGACGGTGCCAAACCGCAATCACCCGGGGATACAGCAGTGTCAACAAGCGGCGCTACCGGGTGTCCAGGTAATGGAAAGCCCAGCTCAAGCAGGTAGGTAACATCGTCCACTGGTAACTGGTCCAACCTGTCAGGACTAAACCCTATGAGGACAATCCTAGAACCCGACCACGGGAGGGTGCAGTGAAGGCCATGCGCGTCAAAGGCGACTGGGCCCTTTGAGACCTCAAGTAGTTTGCCCGGCAGCCGGCCTTCCGGTGTGGTGCGCACATCACTCCCTGCTTCATCGGCAAGCCAGATATCCCCCTCGCTGAATGCGGTTAGCGGGAGTACATAATTCAAGGAGCCAGCAAGGTTGTTTCGATCCCGGTGAAAAGGTGTGCATGTGTTCGAATAAATGGCAATGCACGAAAATCTGGCCTGTGGCAACCGAGACCTCAGGAGGCGCACAGCAGCCTTCACAGAGGAAGGAAAAATCCTAGTGTTCTTGCGTAAGCCGCACAATGTACCCTGGCAAAAAGCACCTGCTGACCAAGCTTTCTCCCTGGCATCCTTTACGCCACGGGTAGGAACCTCATGGGGGAGGGTTTCAAAAATGTTGAGAATGCCCTCTTCGCAAATGGGGTTCGGCAAGGTTCTCGCACGGTGCTCTGCCTCGGATGAGACTACAGTGTTCGGCACATGCGACCCCGACCCAGACTTATACCTACGGGTATCAGGCAGCTCTGACACACGTGGCCGTTTAGCACTCTTGACATCACCGGAAAGCTCACGCGAAGCGCCTAAACCCGAAAGTCCAAGAGCAGCACCACCTAAACCCGATGAGGGAAGCGCGGGCGAAGGGACCCGGGGCTTAGGTACCACTCGGTGTTCCAAAGAATCCTGCTGTGGGCACACCACGCCGTTGCTGCAAGACTGCGCGTCGTGCAACACAGATGGCTCGCCGCACACAACGGAAGGCGGTCCTGGAAGTGAATTGCCACCCACGGCGGGCGGTGGAACTCGAGGCAATGCAGTGACTGCACAATGAGGTTCGATGCAAACGTTCCCACCACCCCTCTGGAGCACGAGAGCATCGGACGGGAGTTGGGACTTGCTTACCAGCTTGGAGCCCTTAGGAATGCAAAGCGAGTCCACATGCATGTCCTGCAACAAGCGATTCTTGGGGCACAGTGGAGGTACGGTGTGCATTTGCACACTCGCAAAGCCCTTGAACTCAGGAACCGGGTTGGGAGCATGTTTGCGAGGTTGGGAACCAAGAGAAATCTGCGCAGCTGCATGCGTTGGCATAGCACCCGGTTGAACCTTGAGGACAGCAAACATAGCCTGAGCAACAGCGCTGTAGAAACGTTTCAAGACTACATCAGATGATGCCACGGTACATGTCGTGCAACCTAGCTCATGCACCTTCACGAAGGCGGATGGTACCGAAGAAGCCAAACGAATGGAGCCCGACTTCGAGGCACCGAAGGGCCGCAGCTGCACATCAACAGCATTCGAGAGATGTGATTTCCCCAAGTGTGTATCCCAGAAACTCGAGCGAGCTGGCGCTTCAATGGTCCAAGGTGTGTCTGTATCCGAGCAGTGTTTGACAAGATTCCTCACAATGGTTAGGCAACGCTCAGTGTCAGCAGAAGGAAAAGAATGGCGACCATGTGGAAACAAAGATTTCGGGCAGCGAATGTGAACCCAAACACAGGAAGGCTCACGAACCCAGGAGGCGCAAAGTGCATGGCCCCCCTCACTAAGAACATCAATGGGAATTATCGGTGCCGTGGCGGCCTGCGAACACCCCGAGCCTATGGCGAAGGAGTTTGGCAACTTCTGTCGAAGACAACCGCACAAGCTAGCCCGGCGAGCAAAAACTTCCATGCAGAAGGATGAGGGGTCGCACCCCACATCGTGGCTACCCTTAGCAATCTGAGGTACAGTCGGCAGCGAACGGTCCTCAGGCACATGGTGGGCGACAATGTCGCCCGTGCACAGTCACTCCGAGTCCTTGGAGTTATCATGATCAGACATCGGATGGGCTTTGTAGCACGCCGGCTTACAGCACACATGCAGAAACTTGCATTTGGATCCAGCTTTGCACTTGTTCAAATTGTAATTGAAGCATATGGGTTTATTCTGGGGCGTGCGCGCATGCATACCCCTGAGGGCCTCAGGGACAGGGTCACGAGTGACTTTGGTTTTCTTGTCTGGGCTTGCATCTTCCTCCTGTCCCTGCCGGCGCTTCTTTGTCTTGCCTGGACCCTTACCGCCCCCCTTGCCCCTGTGAGGGGCAGGCTGCACAAAATACATCACCTCGGAACTGTGCTCAAGTAGCCTGAACTGGGCATCTAAGGGCAATGAGCCGTCGGGTCTAGCCTTGAGTGCGCCATTGCACGCCCTTGCAAGCACCATGAAGGCTTGACGATCTGCCCTCAACACTTGTGCACGCGTCACCCTCTGAAACTCAGGAGGGGGATCCAATGACAACACGAGGAAGAGTCTATCAACCCAGCGTTGCACAACCGAGAATGTGGCCAGGCCTACAAGATCGAATGCCAGTGCACGCCTAATCATGGCTTGATAAAGCTGCAAATCCGTGTCGATGGACATAGCCGCAATGGCTTCCTCGTCCTTGACGATGAGGCCAGCTTTGTTTGCATCCAGTTGAAGGGCTTTGGGTGGCTTTGCGTTACACAGTTCAGCATCCCGGGTGATGCACTCAGCCGGACTGATATACTTCAGCTCATCCTGCTCACGCATGGTAGCCAGCCTATCGTACAGACAATGGGCAACGGCAAGGGGGCCTTCCAGACATAGACCTGCAAGACGGGTCTTCTGCTGTTCCAAGCGCAAAGTTCTCTCAGACGAAGGAAGTTTCTTGGGCCCTTCACCTTCCTGCACTGTTGCACGCAACTCTGCCACTGTGAATGTCTGTGCCTCAAAGATGAGCTGCTTCAGAGCAGAATTATCCCCTATGGAAATGTGAGCCCCAGGACGCAGCTTGGTGGTGAAAGCCTCTAGGTCCTCTGCACTAGGAGGTGTGCCCGGTAAGGACACTGCATAGCTGAGCTTTCCCAATGTATCAACTGCCGCCGCCTTCAGAGCATCTACCCATGGTTGCGAAAGCCCTGCCGTTTCGCATCGACGAGCAAACGCGGCAGTAGAAGACAGGACGGATACCGCAGCCATCAGCGACAGAAGCTACCAGACTAGACACAGAGCAAAAGCAAATGTCCTAACATGCGACATGTACAGTTCAATTGCAACATCCCTAAGAGCCCACACTGCACACAGTGTACAGACACAGATGGATCACACATGTTGCGCCGAGGTCTTCGGCGAATCCGTCTGCATTCAGATCGCATGAGATTGGTGTACATCCACCAACTCACGAAGAAAGAGGATGCCTGACAACATATTTTCCAGACGCACCGTGTTGTCATGCGACGTTCTAGACATCGCTTTTCCAGCAAGCCGTACATTTCGGCCATCGAAGATACGCTCCGGGAAGGTACCAGTAACTGGGTCCAGCCTGTCGGCCACACCTGGTTCTCCGCTCGGACTCTAGACCACGGACGCGATGCAACATCTTAGACCTAGCATGCTGCCAACACGGCTCATCGATCTCAAACCCTTGACTCGGTACAACTCTCCGTATGGTCTGCTCTTCGATCTCGCTAGCCTCACCACTGCTATCGGAAGAAGACGAGGAGCTGTCTGAAGAGGCACGAATGCCCACCTGAGAGCCATCATCGTCGCTCAGGTTGATCACTTCGGGAAGGTGGGCTAAGCGGTCTGCACTGAAGAAGTCACGACCTTCTTCCCCCTCTGCTTCGAATGCACCGTGAAGTGAAGAAGGGCTTGCATCCCGAACAGCCTCCCCATGATGTGCATGTTGTTCCGCGAACGAGGCTGCTTCATGTATGGGCTCCTCCGGCGGGTTGTGGAAAGTGGTCGTACCTGCTGATGAATCGAACCAGCCACCAAAGGCTCCCGAAACTTCGCCCACAGGCGGTAACTCCGCATCCGCAGCTGAAATTAGCCAACCCGATCGTGTGGTGTCGGGCTTGAACAGCCCTTTCCTGATCTGAGAGAGCATCGCTCGATAGGCCCGCAGTGGACCACTAAGCAACTCGCGGTTGTAGCAAGCCAGGGAACTCGAGCCTGTCGCATGATGCCCCAGCAAGAGCCCATCCCTCTCACTGAAGCCTCGTTTGCCCACCCACTCGAGGGTTGTAGCAGTGTTGTAGCTTTGAGAACGTGGGAAGTCCTCCTCGCTTCGCCCTGGAGATTCAAGACATTGCACAGCATCACCCCCGCCTCCGATGAGCTGCACCTGCGCCTGGAGAGGCTGCCATCAGCAGCCGGAGCGCGGACCACAGGGCCAAAGGGCTTACACTCCCAGTCAATGCCCAAAGCAATCCCCGCATCCCACCAAGCAAGAGGCCAAGCTGCATCCGTCACCCCCGGAAAAGGAGCCACAAGAGGCATAGCCCTCAGCTTAGTCCTGACCGTATGGCTTGTCTTATGGTCCCGCGTTCTGGCCTCAATGAAGCCGGAGCACTCTCGCTCATCGTCAAAGTCAATCCAAATCGAATCGACATTTTTAAGATCTGACCAACGCGATCGGCTGAAAAGAGCAAATAGAAGCCCGCCCAGAATGTAACAATCCATATGGCAAAGCGTACGGCCGGCAACCAGCCGTTCCAACTTCGCCACCTGTTCAACAAGGAGCGCAATTTGCTGCTTCACTTCAGCCGCTTCGCCCGCCAGTCTACGTGCTCGCCCTTGAAGCCTCCTATCCTCGAGAACTTCAGAATCAAAGGGGATCGCCATGACATGCTGAGAGAACCGTATGGCTTCAAAGAAGCCATTCACAGCACTCGCCGATCTTCCCAGGGATTTCACGAAGCGAGTAACCGATTCCGAGTCCCATGGCCAAACAACCGAATGTTCCCGCGAGTGCCAACGGATACACCTGAGTATGGCATTCGCGCGCTTGATAGCAGTCCTGGGAGATTTCAGGCCCAACACATCGCGGACAACCTCATCCCTAGCCGACTCTCCATCATGAAGCAAACTCCTGTCAGCTTGCCGTGCCACAGGTCCCGAATCACCTACAATCAAAGCAAAGATGGAGCACCACTTCTGAATAGCCAGGGCCCACAGGCGATCGTCTTCATCAAGAGGAGGCTCATCATGTTTCCCACGAGCAGGAAAAGAACCTTCATAGAAGTAAGCCGGTTCCTGTCGAGCCCGCTTTGAAGGGGGACTAATATCACTCCGACCAGCGTCATGGTGTGCAAGCCTAGGTTGGCCAAACTCTGGCACCCCCACGATGTTCCCGTCAAAGATCGCTTTCATAGCGCCCATTTCCCAAGGAAACTTCGGAGCAGTATGGGGAGCACCCTGCAACCTTGCACCGAAGAGCAGCCTGTCCAAATCAAGGTCGTCGTAACCGCCCCCCTTTGAAGAAGACGACATGGCAAGATAAGGGACAAAATTCGAGCTGCACACATCCAAAACTGCGGAAATGCAGCTCGCATGTGTTGCCTCAAGTGCACACATGCACATTCACAGAATACTAGGAATAAGGTGCTGTCTCGCAAGCGAGAAGGCTTACCTCTTTCTCTTTCATCCTTCCTTTATAAACGGCTCAAACACCGCGAAAGAGCTGGCCTTCCAGCAACCCGACACGAGATGCAGCATCCGCCTCCACCACTGCAGCCTCTGCATTCATGTGAGTGTGGACTACACGCTGTAAGCCCAATGGGCCTCCGCTGTCGGGTCTTGAGCTATGGAAAAGTCTCTCCGAAGCTGTACCACCTTGCATGTCTCAGCATGCGACTGGCTGCGCATTTGTATATGCCAGTACGGTTCCGAGACCTGTCTTCCCAGCCCCTCCACGTCACGGCGCAGAACCTCCATGAGGCCTCGATCCTGCAAACGCATTTGTCACTCGCCGTTTCGGCTCAATGCTTGGAGTCTTGTTCATCATGTTGCTATCTTTGCTTTCATCATTTTTTCCTTTGACCATACACCGCCTTGGAGATGCCTGGAGCGAGGAGTCTGTTGCTCAGCTTGGCTGCAGCTGCTCTCGTCCAGAGAGCATCACGCGTGAAACGGAGTGAAACACACCACGTCGACGAGTGGAAGACTTTCAAACCGGTTTGAATGGGCACGACCCGGCACAAGCTCAGGATGCCAACACGGCTGCGCCCTCACAGGGCCCCGGTGGAAAAGCTGACTCCCATCGGGCGATAAACCCTGCAAGCCAGCTTGCGAAGCTGATGGCATGTCATACAAGGTTGGCGACTGAGCAAGGCACTGCGACTGAAGCAAAGGACGGTGCGCGAAAGGCGAGGATGTATAGGTTTTCCTGGCATCTGTCGGACGAGAGAAGCAGCAACAGAAGCTACTTCTGCCCTGTGTATTGACAAGAGCCACGTATGGAGCAACCTTCGCCTGGATGCTGCCAAGGCACGTTGCAGGCGCGGCCGTCCAACCAATCTCTTGTGCCGTTGTTAGTGCACGGCCGTACCTAGCAAGCCAAATGCACAAATGGCTGTCTGAAGTCTGGCGGTGTCTGTCGAATGCTTACAAAGCCTACGTCAGAGAGCTCTGCGCAGTCGTGACTAACAGCACATGTTCGCGCTTTCTCGAAAGCTGGGTGGACAAACTGTCCCATCATCCAGGCAGATGATAGGAATGAAACGGATGCAAGCCAAGCGCTTTCCCACATTGCAACATTGCGCACCTTTCCACCGGACCACCTTTTTTTGCTTCTAATCTCAAATATGCACCTTGGCAGAGCGCGTGTGCGACCCCGACTTATGGGACTGGGCAACTCCACTAAGCAAGGAACCTCGTCCCTGACCTGTCCAGGGCCAAGCACGAAATGAGCCAAACTTCTAAACTTCTGGTGCTCGGGCCTTCTCCAGTAACACCAAATCGCAGCAGCTTCTGTGGATCTGCATCTAAACCTCACGCGTTTGATGCAGGCTGCGAATTCAAATCGGTCAACTCCACGCCAAGATCCTGCGTTTCGCAGCTTCCGAGTATACTCAGCATTTCCATAGCAGACATGCCACGAGGCTTGTTGTCGTGCGGATGCGGGTTTGGAAAGTGTCCCAGTGACTGCTCAAGCCTCGGATGCTGGTCGTTTCACTGCGCTACAGACGGACGTCCTTGTGTGCCGGCAAGATGCTGGCTCAGCTGACACCTTGCTCACAAGAGCTGTCGAAGTAAGACTCAATGGGAACCAAGAAGGCCGGCAACTGCAACAATATCTCTGCTCAGTTGCGACCGCTCCTTCTTGGGCACGACCGAACTCTTGACCTTTGTGCTGCGCAAGCAAGGTGTCGTTAGCTGGCAGAATTCGCTGGAAACGAAAACGCTGAGTTCGGTGCGATGCCCAATGCTTCCTCTGCAGCTGCCTTTTTGGCCAATTGCTCGTCGCGAATCCGTTTGAAGTGCCTCGGAAAAACTGGCAGGATCTCCGGTTCACCCTGTAATATTAGAGACTGACTAGTGTTGGGGCCAACAATAAATGCAAAGTTTCCCCGACCTTATTGAAACCCGTAATATCGTTTTGGGGGTCCGAATAATGAAACAGATTCCGGCCCCAATTTTGTGGAAGCCGGGCTCTTACAATTGGAGGATTCATTTCTGGGCATAGTCTAGCAAATAATGTCGAACCCCGCCTGTTGCTTGCGGAGAAATATTGGGCTCAGGATGCATATATCAGTGTGTATGTGCATCTCCGCACAGTTCTGCCGTGGACAGTGTCCAAGGGGGTTTCAGGCCTAGACTTCACTGGACACTGCGAGCAAATAAGAAAGCAGTTCGTATGTAGGAGTTAAAACAATGCTACTATACCATTAAACCTGTGATGAGGAAATCAGGAGCTTTTCTCTATCTCTCCTCGTGATGGGGACGGGCTCTTTATGTAGAACTCCACCCGTTGCTTGAGCAGAGACAAATAAAGAACGTCTCGCAATTCATTTTCATAAACTGATGCTACTATACCATATTATACTTGAGACGATGAATTGAAGGCGCTCGTTCATGTATTTTCATGATGGGGATTGTGCACAAGATGTCAATCAATTGTTTCGTTGCTCCGCTGAAGCCGAATGACAAGTAGAAGTGCCTCCACCTTCGCGCTGAGGCCATGACGAGAAAGCTGCCATGTATGTTTTATTGGGATGGCGGGAGCTTTGCTATTTATTGATAGTAGTGAGAGCAAACAATTAGGAGAACACAGCAAATCTGTTGAAGGTATGAAGTTGTGCCAGTTTCCCGCTGAAGCAAGAAGAGACATGCAGGTTACTTTCCACATCTTCTACGGAGCTACGCTTTATCTTTTTGTTATCGGCACATAGATAACACCTCGGCTTATTCTTGTTACTACGGAGCCAAACATATCATGTAGTGTTCACTGAAGGAGTTTTCCACATGAAGACACACGCAGCCATTCTTATTAAAAGTATAGCACGTACGAAGTTCGACAAACGTTAATGACGATCACAATGGAGTTCGCAAAATGCGCAGATACACACATTGTTTGATTTTCTTACAAGGATGGGGAAACACATTCCCTCAAGTCATTGACAGAACTTGAGAATTCTTTGGTTTTGGCCACTGATAAAGATGAAGAAGAGTTCTTATGCTGCTTTGTGATGAACGAACTATTTCCTAGTGCAAGAAGTGAACTGCGCTTTCTCACTGAGAAAGCAATACTGATTGTCCAGAAGCAGAGGAGCTTTCTGGTGTCTTCTTTAGTGAGTGTGTCTGGTTCTCTGCACTTTCGGGAAACCAGCGGTAGCACGCAACACGGAGCGGCAAACAGAATCCGTTTTGGGATTCAGGTGGTTTTCACATCACACATATACAGAAAGACAAATATGAGCGGTAACTAACACCGAATTGAAGGAACAAGGGTAAATACCGATGATTTGAAACTTGGTTTCTATATGTGGGGAACAACAAACAGAGACTGAAGATGGTGGAAGAACCGTCGGCGAGAAGGCTGGTATTGATCATGGCGCGGGGTGTGACCGACTATGACTATTTCTATTGCTGCTACTATTCCTATACTTACGATCACTAGTTACGATCACTATTAATCCGGAGCCCGCCTGAAAAACATCCACATTGTGCAAAGCGATTCTTGCGGGGCCTACATTAATCCCACGCTCACAAAGGTGCTTGTTCTCTTTGTCAATAGTCTCCGTCATCACCTGCGCCAGCATGTAGTCCTAAGCGCCATGAGAGGACACGCCTGCTCAAGTGCAGGGAATGTCTGTTTGCATCCGCGCATCCATCGCCATTGTGTCGGAAGTTGGAAGAATGTGCGGGACCCTATTTTCGTGTTCTGAATACTACCTATCAACTTCGAGCCCAAACCGGATGAGAAGAATGTGTCGAGTGCTGAGGGAATGATAGAGGTGACACAAGAGAAACGGCACAGGTTCGTCAGCACAGCACAGCACAGGTATCCTCCTCGTGTTCTTGTCGCAGACGATGAAATTCTGCGCTGAGCTCTGCTTGCGATGCTGGCCAAGCCTGTCAAGGCAGTGGCAATATGGCGGGACACCTGAGGCAGGCACTGCAGGCAGCCTCCAAAGCAGAAAGTCTTCGCCACGCAGCTGGCAGTGAACATCAAACGGCCCCAGCCCAACACACTGAGGCTTCCATTGCCTGATCGATCCTCCTTGTTCTCTCTAAGAACTGAGGCGACCTGGTTCGAGATCTGCAGAGTCCTTTGCCTCATCGTCCCTCCTCACCGGCCCCTCGGACCCTCCCTCGGACCCGAGCCTCCCTGGACACGTCTGCCCTCAGGGTGGCAAACCGCTCTTCCAGCCCTCGGACCACCACCTCCGTCACCTCACGCGAAGCTACGCCACGGCTGGCCACGGCTGGCCGCAGATCAGACTCAAAGGGCTCCAGGAGCGCCTGGCCTGCTCCTGCAAGTCGCTTACTTGAACCTTCAAAGCCAGCACCTCTCTTGCCTCAGACTGCTCCTGCATGTGCAGCACAAATCCCACAAACCGCAGCGCAGACATGAAAACACATGTCCTGTCTGCCAGGGCCATTCTGGGTTGCCTGGACGGCTTCCAGGATTTCACCGAGCCTTCGTCTGTGAGCAATGGTGACTCGCAAAATGCGCGCTGAGACTGGTCTCGTGCAACCATGGATCTTCTTCACCTCGCTACGCACGGCGGTCAGCCCTTCTTGCATGGCTTTCATGGCCTTCATGTGCCTGGCTTTGGCGCTGGCCAAACTGGTGTGCATAATGCTTCTGAAGCTCAATGCGCCGGGAAGTCTGTTGAAAAAGCGATGGAATGTGGGTCGACCGTAAATCCTGAACTTCTTGTCGAATTGCCTCCCATCGAATTGCAGGCATTTTGGGGCAAGAATGCTCAACCGCTGCATCGGAAAACCTCATAGAACGGCCAGTGTCATGTTGCCAGAATTGCTTTCGCAATGACTCTTGAAAAGCTGCGGACGGCCTCTGCTTCCTTTCGCCAACTTTTCTGCGTTTGAATCGTGCGGCGAATCTTAATGCTTCAGCTGGTTGCTTCAAGGAACTGATTGCTTCGAACCTCCTGTTTCTCCTTCTGATCCAGGTCATGAAACCTCACGAAAACCAATGCGAATATGCGCCGTTGTACCAATCGCTGTCAGCAAGCCTCACGATTCGAGGCCCATGCCTGGCATCAATTTCGCGTAGGTTTTCCTGCGATTGCTGCAAGTCTTGACGACGTTGCTGTACCAACCTGTGCCAATTTCTATCACCATTCTACAACTTTTCGCGGGATTTCGTGAGTCTCGGCCACTGAAATACCTGTGACGAGAACTCAGGCCCAAGCGCATCGACCTGAGTTGTGGTGAATGGCAATCAATGACAATGATCATCTCTGATCCGCGTAACCAAAACCGCAAAGCCTGCAACTTTTGCAGTCTGCGGCACCATGTTTTCGAGCTGGACACATCTTTGCCGATCTGCCTGAGCAAACTTCGGCGAAGGTCATCTGTGTGGCCGAGCACAATGCCAGGCCAGGCCTCTGTTGTGTTTTCAGCTGCTTGCACCAGGGCAAGCTCCTCCTGCACAAATATCCAAAAGTAGCTGGACCGGGCATGCCTCCTCAAAAGTGAAACCTGTGTGTCGAATACGGAAACATTGCAGCCCCCATCTCGGGCATGCTCTTTCTTTGTGCATCCCCTGGCTCTTTATAGCGTGCACGTCGCAGCGGTAGCGATACGATGAGAGTTTTGCAACAACCGTTTGCCTTCGCAGATGCGTAAGCAAGCATGTTGCTTATTATCGTGAATACGTCTCCGTGTTTTGCGCCTGTCTGTCTCGAGCACGAAACTTTCTTTCTGCCTCCCTAGGCGCTTTACCGCGCACGTGTCGCAAGGGAAGCGAGAGAATGAATTTTGCCGCACCCATTGACGCTTGCAGATTTGCAGGTACAGGTAGACATGCTGTTGAACGCGCCGTTAAAGGTCAATCAGGCAGTGGACATACACGCGTAGATTCGTGCGCAAGCTTGACAGCTGAAACTGCAACAAGCCAGAGGAAAAGGCTCCGGAACTCCACTCTTCTGCGCCGACATCTGTGACCCGATTACCACCATCGTGGTCGATCCTGTTTCTGGAGTCGGATAGGCAAACTCCAGGTTGTTTGCATCATTTCCGACCACGACAAGCACTGCTTTGATGAAACCAAACCGCCCACACACCAAAATGTTTTCATGGTAAGACTGCGTCCGCCGGGTTCGTCGCCTTCACCCAATACTACCGGCGCCAGGGAGGCCTTCAGCATCCCGGGCCCGCCGTCTGGCCAGCGACGACCCTTCACCAACATACGGGTGCCGAGGGTGGGTCTCTACGCTGCAACACGACAAGCAAAAAATGCACACGCCGGGTTCGTCGCCTTCGCCAAACACTGTACACTGGGCCCACTAGGCTAGCCGGCGGCATGCGCCGACTTTACTCCGCCAAATTTGTAAGCTTGTCTGGGCCACATCATGAAGGCAGCCTGGATCAAAACGGGATAAGACCCAGCTAAGCTGGCTCCGGATTCCGCTATGGGAACCGAAGACGAACTAGGTCTTTGCGTTGCAGCTGCTTCCGAAGGCTTAGTGCCGAAGTTGCAAGCAGGGGTCCAGGCTGTTGGGCGGGACCCACACCTGCGGTGTCAAAGTCATCAAGGCGTTGGCCAAAGCTGCCACTGTTGGCAGAGTGGTCAAAAGTTGACTGCACGGATTCAACCACAAAATCATGGCAAACGCTGAATGCATACAGCACATCTGATTGCGAGCGAGTGCTCACACTTAAGACTCGAAGCCGCATTGAATGGAAGGAACCTGGGAAGCGGATGCAGTCACAAGAAGCTGGAGTGGAGAAAGGATCGATGCGGAACTACAAGCATGCAGCCCTGAGACCACACAGAACATGCCCACACGAAGGCAGACTTCTGCGTCGATCCTTGAAATATAGTTTTCCCGATTATAGCACACATAAACCCGAAAAATACAGGGTATTCTGCGAACTGAATGGAGGCCAGAGTCTCCTCCAGTCGGGAACAGCGGCTTGCCTGTAGCTGCACGGCCTGGTCAACCTCGCACAACACAACTTGCACAAACACTGCGGCACAGGTCTCTGAGCTGTGGCCTCTTCGGTGAATTTTCGGACGAGGCTGTCAACATCCTCCACTTTCAGGATCTGCAAATCTGCCACCTGCATGCGAATGATACAACTTTAGATTTTCTGACTCCGTGACATGTGAACTTCAGCCCCTGAGTTCAGGTAATGCCTGTGCAAGAAGGAAACAGTGAGCAGCAACGCCGTCACTGTGGCAGGAGCAACTCGGCCAAATTTCGAAATCTCTAGAACCTCGTAGGGTGGCCCTGCTAGGAATTCGTTGCGGGAAGACCTAGGATAAAAGCGCCGTGGTGTTGGTCGCCGTGTTGCCGCTGACCGGGCATTCCTGATTTCACTTCCAGCGCACTGCTCACTGTGTTACACCGGACTGTGATCCTTGAACATTGCCACCCCTGGCCAGTGAAACTCCGAATTTTTTCGTCCCAATCGGAGGTTCGCGATTTTCCCCACCGTGGTGTTGCCCCTTCGTCGTCGTCCTCGGGGATCTCCAGCTAAATGCTGGCATGACATTCTCGTCCTGCAGCATGAAGGCTTCCACCCGGTCGGTCATGTATAGGGCACTTGCCGGAGATGTCCTTTACCATGTCCTGTAGAACCACAGTAAGAAGCTCCTTGACCCCTTGCTCTTGCCACAGAGAGTGCATGCCCATGCTTTCCGGCCCTGTCTGTTGGTGCGGCTGCAGCAGATAAGCAACGATGAAAGTAACCGCCTGCGTCATGGCGACCCCTCCAGTCTACACCTAGCGGTTTGCCTGTAGCTCTTACGGATGTATAGATTCAAGACTGTACTACGCTTCTCGCAGTTGCCTCGATAGACAGAGCATCGAGGCTGCCTTACGGGTTGTCATTTTTGCAGCTATCCGAGTCCTCCAAAATGCGACTGTCGTAGCAAATTTTCAGTACAGGCACGCGGATCCTGTGCTTCATGACACCGCTGAAATGGAGTCATGGGTGCGCCCGTGCGCCACAGAGGTGCTGTCGATTTGAAGCTTCCAAAGAGCTGCACAAGAGTGGTGTGCAGCCTCGGCCAATGCAAAGATGGCGGCACGGGGGCACGAGGTCTGCCACCAAGCTGTGATGCTCTGGTCGACACATCGGCGAACACCGATGGAGTCTTTCTATGGCTGTGACATGCTGACGCCAGCATGCAGCCGTCCACCTTTGAAGACTTGCAGCATGAACGCTGTGTTTTCCACACTACTCAGGCGATGCCTGTAAGTCTGACCTTGTAGCCCAGTATTGCAACTGTGAGAAAGCCCGTCGAAACTAGCTCGAGTTGTGCTCGGGGGTTCTGTCAGAACTTCGCTTCGAGTTTAGGTTCAAAGTTGGATGGGCGGACATTCGGGATGTCTTCATCGGGCCCTTTATCATCTTGTCAAGCAGAGTGCGTTTGTAAAGGCTTTTCAGAGAGTATTTCGAGGGTAGGTGGAGCTCCTCATGGACGTAGAACTCACTCTGGCACTGCTGAGCTGGCTTCGAGGCGGCTGAGGAACACGGCCGAACAAAGCAACACCAAGTCGAAACAGCCTCCATCTGCAGCTTCTCAACTCGCTCGCTCAGGCCGTCAGCTTCTGCCTATGAAGAAACCCACCCACATGTTGCAGATCTTCCACAGAGAGTTCACATGCGCAGCCAGCGTCGAGATACATGCATTGCAAAAAGTGAGGCATGCATTCAAGAGCAGCTAGCGCAAACTTGTCGCTAGCCTTGCAGCCCGAGCACACTCGAGTGGCCTGGCCTTGCTTTCCCGCTGCTGCTTCTGAGGCTCGCCTTCAGGTGTCGCCGTTCGGACCATGTCCCGACGCAATTCATCAAAGCTGCTTCCTCTCGTATGGCGGTACGAGCACCAAGCCATACTGTGTCACCCTTGACAATCGACACACACACACACACACACTGAATGCTAAGGAAGGTTTCGGTATGCGACGGACCACCTGATGTCCAGGTCTCAAGCGACCACACATCAGAGACTTCGGACTGGTAGCTACATGGGCAGCAACTGCAAAGAGGAAGTGCAGAAAGTCTGTGGCTGACACCTCAACCTGCCTAACTAAACCACAACGCCGGCCTGAACCCCCAACGCACCGAAGGACACGGCAAGGACTGAGGAGGTGGACACTGGCACTGAGCAATGCATGCATGTGTACTCGCTAAACGGGGTTCTCGGCTTAGCCCCAGGCCATCCAGAAACCAGCACATACCAGACGACATGAACTCAAGCACTGACTGTTTCTGAAGTTATACCACAGCTGCAGGAGAACGACTGAGCGGGGTTCTTGGCTTAGCCCCATGCCATATCCAGAGAAGCGCAACCAGAATAATAATAGCCAAGTAAAACCAATGTACAGCGAAGATGATATACGATGTCACAAACGGCAGGTACACACGGTTGATCAGACCGTGCTTCACCAGGGTATCCAGAGTGTCTTCGTTGGTGGCAGACTCTGGACCCTGCTGCCACCCCCTGCTGTGTACTCTGTACTCAAGTTCGGTTATATGTAAATCGCAAGTAGTAAACGGCTGCAGAGCGTGAGGAGAAGGCCCTTGGATACAGGGTTGTCACACACACACCCCGCCGTAGCGGGGTGAGTTAATCAGACGAAGACGGTGAGCATGTAGAGCAGGTAGAGCCGTCGGGTGAACTTGGAGGATCTGGCAGCGGTGCAAGGAATGTCGGTGGAGAACTTCTCGGAGAGGAGTTGGCAATTCTGTTGAAACTAAAGGCTTCTCAAGCCTTCCTTCCCACTCTACTCTCAAACACACTTTTCTCACTTCGCGGGCTGACTTGCTTAAGCCTTCGTGTCGCGGTTCACACACATGTTTCATGCGTTCTCGTGATTACTCTACACACTCTACTTGGGACTACGTGCACTAGGATACAAACGAACACCCCGCCTCAGAAAGTTCTTGCGGGTTCCTAGGGTGTTCTTGGAAACTGCTAGGGCTTTCTGTACAGTGCTTTTGCTAGGGACTTTCGTCTCTGTTGTTCTTGGTCTTTTACCTAGCTGCACTCCTGCCCTGTTGCTACTTAGGCCTTCTATGTCTGTACATTGGCCTTCCTGAAAAACTTACTCTGTATGTACAGCTACGTTCTAGTTAGGTCCAGCCTATGGACTCTTTGCGGGGAGGCCCGTACCCCGGTTTCTTTCTGCCCTTACGTAGCCTACGGGCTTTTCTTCTTTCGGGCTTCTTCTCTTGTTCTTGGCTTCTCCGGCTTCTTGCCTCTTCTGGCCCTTGTACCTTCCTAGCCTGCCTTTTGTGAAACTTCTTGTGAGACTTTGGAAGGTTGTAGCTTACCTAGGCTTACTGCCCCAGTTTGCTACGTCTATACATTTGCTCACACTTTGTACATGAATTCTTGTGCTAGTATACATCAAGTCTTACGTTGCTTAGCTATGTACATATGTACAAGCGTTCACTGCTTGACCTGCTCGATCATCCCTTCTCGGGATCCTTTCACTGGGTCTGCACCCAGTTCTTGGACTTCTTGCCTTTACCCTTTCCTTTGGGTGTCCACTGATCCCACTGGTTCTGCTGCGCCCACTCTTCTGGCGTCTGCCAGTAGCCTTTGTTGTGCGGGTTCGCGTTCTCGTACCAGTTGCTGCCGTCGTCGGTGGTGTTCCAGTTCTCGTTGTTCCACTGCTCGTTGTACCACCAACCGTCGTTCTGTCCGTCGTCCCAGGAAGGGCCTTTTCCCTTCGTTCCTTGGTTGTCGTGCTTGCCTTTCGCGTGGATGCGTCGCTGCACTTCTTCCTCGATCTTCTCGTTCTCCTTGGTCTCGAGGAATTTATCCAATTCCTTTCCGTCTGTAAACCAAATGTTGTGTTTCCTGTAGCACTCCGTCACCTTGTTCCAAAGGAGGCGGCCTTTCACCGGAGCGTTCTTGATTCTTGGGGCTCCTTTCTTGTCCTCACACTTCGCGCGGTACTCTTGCGTCTTCTTGTTGAACTCCCACACGTAGCCAAGCTGCGTGAACTCGGCTATGTCGTTCGGGTCGACGGTAGTTTCGTCTCCTTGGTTGCTTGACGGCTTCTCTTCTTGGTCTTCTGTCTCTACCTGCTTTGGCCTTTTTCCTTTCTTCTTCTCTTCCTCTTTTGCCTGCGCTTCTTTCTTCTCTTTCTCTTCTTCTGCTTTGCTCTTGTACGCTTCTTCTGTCTCTTCTTCACCTTCGCTTCCAGACAAGGTTGCACCTAAGGTTTCCTTGAGGCTTTTGACCTTCTTCTTGTACTTCACGATCTTGTCCTTAGCTGCAAGTAGAAGTGCGTCCACTTCCTGTGAGTAACCTTTGAAGTAGTGGTAGTCGTCCTTGAGGCTCTTGTAGTCGTACTGGAGGTCGTCGAGCTTCTGGTTCCTTACTTTCTCTTCTTGCTTTAGCACTTTAAGCTCTCTCTCCAAGTCCTTCTTTGCGTCGTCAACGTACTTCTTGGCGTACTCTTCTCTCTCCTGGTCGTAGCCGGCGGTTTTTTCCTGGGCTTTTCTCTCTCTCTTCTCTGCCTCTTTCTTCTTCTTTTCAACCTCTGCTTCCTTTGCTTTGACGTTCTCCTCAGCTTCTTCGAGGGCTGTCTCCTTCTCGCTTAAGACCTTGGCTTGTTCTTGGAGGGTCTCTTGGTCTTTCTCTAACTTCTCTTCTCTTTCTGTAACTTTGTCTTCCTTTTCCTTCACCTCCTTCTGCTTCTTCAAAAACCTTTTCACCGTCTCCTCAAACTCTGTCTTTTGGTTTCCGAACTGCTCCTTTTCCTTCTCCAGGCTTTCCTCAACTTTCTTCAACTTCTCTGCTCTCTCTGTCACTTCTTTCTTTGCCTCGTCGAAGGAGTCCACGTCGTAGTTCACCTGAGCGGCAGGAGCTTCGTCTCTTTTCTTCCTTCGGTTCTTCTTCTTCTTTTCCTTCTCTCCACTTCTGCTTCCTGAGCTGCTTTCCTCTTCTTCACCGCTGCTCCTCTCTTCTCTCTTCGGCTTCTTGTGCTGCTGTGGCTTCCTCATCTCGTTCACGACAAACCATGCCGCCATGCACACCATGGCGAGAGTCACCAGGACTTCCAGAAGCGACATGCTTCCAGGACTGCTTGGGACTTCTTGTGGGCTTGCTACTTCTTGAGCTGCGGCGAAAGGTACGTAGGCTGCCTCAGTCTTTCCAAACAAACTCGAAAGTGCAAACAACATGCTGCTTTTGTTCTTCATGATCTTCTCGAGTCTTCTCACCACTTGTGCCTTTTCTTCTTCCTCTCGCTCTTGCTCTCCAACTCTTCCTTCGCTGTTGCACATGCCGATCATGTTCAGGAGAAACTTCACTCTTTTCGTGCTGAGAGGCTTTGTTCCTAGGTCTGCTGTGTTCTCCTTTGTACCGACTGCGTGTACAGTAAGCTTGCCTTCACGTATTGCTGCTTGTAGCCAAAGTAACCGAATCTGCAAGTGCTTGGCTCTTCCTGTTCCTTGGCGATTTGTGATTCCGCGGCATGCGGAACTGTCTGTGTATGCTTTGAGTAGTACTCGTTCTCCTGTAAGGAAACGAACTGCTGCGTGTAAACCTATTCCTTCGCTTGCTGCTCCAGTAAGTGCCATGTATTCTGCTTCTGCTGAAGATAATGCTATCGACTTCTGTGTCCTGCTGTAGCTGTAGAAATATGCACCGTCCAGGTAGAACATGGCGCAACTCACTGACTTCCTAGTCTGCTTGTCTCCGGCCCAGTCGGAGTCGCTAAAAACTTCCAGCAAACGTTCGCGTGGTTGTTCTCGAGGTTCTTGTAGTTCTTGTGGTTCTTCGGCGCGGTGACGTAGAGCTGACGTTCCTGGGCTGTTCCTGTGGTACGTAACGGCGTAGTCTGACGTTCCTTTGAGGTAGAGCGCCAAGTGCTCCAACTCCTTTCTTTTACGTTCCGTTGGCTTCGTCATGGCAGTACTGAGGCTACGTACTGCGAACTGAATGTCCGGACGGTCGTGCGCTACGTACAGCAAAATGCCGACACAACTTCTGTACGTTCTCGAGTGTTCCTCGTCCAGTTCTTGGGATACGTCAGGTTCCTGACTAGCCGGTGTGCAGGGTGAGTTCTTGGCCTTCTTCTTCTCCAGCTTGAGGATCTCCACGAGTTTCTTCACGTACTTGCTATCGCTATGTACTCGTAGTTCATGTTGTTCGTACGTGTACTTCCTTTTGAGAAACTTCACGGTCTCCTCAGAAAATCCTTTCTCGTAGTCTTCCTCGTTCAGAAGAGGTCCTTCAACTTGTAGGTTCACTTTCTTCTTGAGGTTCCTGAGGATTGGTTCGATGACTTCCTTCTTTCCTGCAAACTGCAAGTCATCTACGTGCACAATGCAAACTGCAACAACTTTTCCTTGTCGTAGAAGACGGTAAAGTGCTGGAACTGCTGTACAACGCTCAAACTTCTCTTCCACCAAAAGACCATCACAAAAGTCTGACCAAAGACTGGATGCGTCGCGTTGACCTGGCAAAACTCTTCCTAACTTCCAACACCAAGTTCCAGGGTTGCGTTCTTGTTGTTCCTGCATTGCCTGTACGACGTGTGCTGCTTCTTCAGGTACTCGACGCAAACAAGGTGTTCTTTGAGGGACTTGTAAAAACGCGTCCTTCACGTCGACACTGTAGATCGCCCAATGCTTGGCGAGAGCCAACATGGGCACCAGTTTTGTAATTCCTGGGCTTGTCGCAGGAGAAAATATATCTTCCCTTTTTCCTTCTGTCTTGTATTCTCTGGCTACTAGTCTGGCACGTCGTTGCCAGCATCTTTGAATCTGCTTGGGCTTTGTTGTTCCTTCTTTGGCTTCTTCAGCTTCAAAACCTGTAGCTTCTCTGAACCTCCAATCTTTCACCAACTTCGTTGTCAACCACTTGTGAAGTTCTTGCTCTGAATCTACCAGAGGTACGTTCTCAGTTGCTTCCTGAGGGTCCGTAGAAACCAACGAAATAACTCCCATCTTTGTTAACCTCTTGATTTCCTTGACTGTAGCTTCATCATCCAACTTCTGAAGAAAAGCCGGATCCACGTTCGGCGGTCCTTTCTCCTCGTCGAAGAACTCGACAGGGACCTTGGTAGAAACTTCCGTTGGTTCACTCTCTGTCTCCTCTTCTTCTTCTTCCGACTCGTACACAAACTCATCATCTGCTTCGTAGACTTCATCATCATGAGGCATGTTGAGGTAACCGTCTGTTTCCTCTGCTCTGTTAACTTGCTTTCGTAGCTTGCTGGGTGAGCTTGGTTCCTCAGGCTCAAGACTGTGCTTGCTTGCTTCTGCTCTTGGTTCAGCTGGTGCTGAAAGTGCTTCTGCTGAGGCTGTAAGTGGCTCAACTGCTCTGAGTTCCTCCAAAAGGGTCTCGTCATCAACTTCAGCTCTTCTTTTCCTGTCTCTCGTCACACTCATGCTGCTGGCTTCACTTTGTTCCTCTCTGTCTTCAAGTGCTTGTTGCTGCTCTTCACTGCTGTCCTCCGAACTCGGAGGGTCGCTAGCGGCCTCGTCGTTCTCGAGCTGTTCGCGTTCTTCCTCGGCAACAGGGGGCAGGATGCTTAGCTGTGGTCGTTGTCTTTGCTTCTTCTCTGGAAGTACTCTTGCTCCAAGGAGTGGTGTGTTGAGGTTCCAGGTATGGACCTCTATGCTGCTTGTTCTTTTGGAGTCTCACGCTGCGTGTGATATGTATGCCATCAGGCTGTGCAACGATCCATGTGTCTTGCTCTGTCTTGCCTAAAAATATTCCTGCGTTCCATATCCTGTCACCTTTCTTCTTGATCTTCAACCTCTTCGCCATCACAACAGTACCAAAGGGTACAAGTTTCCCTGAGTAGGGGTATCCGTGGATAACTTCCTGTGGCGTTCTTCCTGTGGAGCTGCTCACTGCGAACCTGTTGAGTAGCCAGCAGGCGTGTCTAAACGCCCAGCTTACTACTGCGTGCTCGTGTGGTATTGCCAGCTGTGTTCTTTCTCTGACTTCATCGAGAATGGTGTTCGCTTGCCTCCGTACTGTTTGTATTGCTCTTTCTGCGGCTCCATTGCTTTCGTGGTCGTAAGGAATGCTTTCCTGTAGTGTTGTAGAAAGTCCAAGGCTGCTGCGTACTTTCTGTACTTTGTCCTTGAGTGCTTTGGCTGCGTTCTCGTTGTCTGCTTTGAGAACGAGGGTGTTGTACCCGAGCTGCGTGGTGAACTGCACGAGTGCTTCCGCGAGGTGCGTTGTGTTTCCTGCTCCTCCTTTCCTCTTGCAGGGCACCGCCAAGACTGCCTTGCTCCAGCTGTCCACAGCGACAAGAGTCACTGCTGGTGGCTCTTCACTTCCTGTGGTGCTTGTATAGCAAAAGTCAAAACTGATGACGGGCTTCGCGGAATCCGTAGAGCTGCTTGGCTTGCTCAATCCTTTCTTGTGGTTGTCTTCTCGTGCTTTCATAGCAACGCAATGGGGACACCAAGGCTGATACGGAAGGTGCGTCAAGTTGTGGTACGCTCTCTCCTCTTCCGTTGGTTCCTGTGGTGGTGCTAGGTGGTATGCTTGGTGGTGTTCCCGTTGTTCCTTGTGTTGCGTGCTGAGCCTTTCTTCTCTGACTGCTGTGGCGAGTCTCTTCAAGAGCTGCTTCTTGCTTCCTGTTGTCTTCACTCTGTACTCTCTGCAAAGTGCTTGTAGTTCCTTAAGACTGCTTTTCTGTGCTGTGTACTCGACGCCTTCGTGGTAGAAGCTTTCCTCCAAAACTTCAACAACTTCTTGTGGTGCTTCTTGGTCTGCTTGTGCTTCTCTCATCTCCTCATCTTTGCTCTCTTCTGCTGCTGGTGGTGCTGCTGAGTTTTCCTTCTTTTGGTAGTGCTCTTCTTTCTTCTTCTTTAGCTCCTCTGCTGCAGCTTCTGCTTTTAGGTCTTCAACAACTTCTGGCTTCACACGGAACCTTGTTTGACCAAACCACGGCAAACGAAAGTGTTCACGTAGAGGTAGGCGGTCTGCTCTCCAGTCGTCGCTGTGTTCGTAGATCTCCGTACTGTAGATGCAGTCTCCTTGGGTATACCTGCTGTTCTCAAGATCTCCAAGGAGGACAGGACAGTTGGCAACTCCTGTCGGGTCAAACAGCACAGTTCTCGGTACTACGTGGTGACGAACAACTTCTCCCTTCTCGAGGTCCACTTTCCAGTAGTCACGACCATGACTTTCTTGCTCTGCTCGATCTCCAGCTGCGTAAGGGGTGCCAAGGATCCAAAGTGGAATTGGCTTTGCTGAAATGGCTGTAACCACTTCCTTTTCTCCTTCTGCAAACTCTTCAAAAGGGTCTGCCTTCTCGGAGTACTTCTTTGAAACTTCAACTGCTCTCCATCCTCTCTCTTCTTTCACCAAAGTGCTTCTGTACGGAAAGTGCGTAGTTCTATACATGAGAGATGGGTTCTCGTAGCTGCTTTGAGTGGCGTACTTCACGATCACCATGCTGTCTGTGTTGTGCCAACCAGGTTCTTCTCTGTTCACAGCTTCCTGAACGTGCTTGTTGAGCTGAACAACTGTCCGAACCATCTTGTAGTTGTTGCTGCTGTAACTTCTGCTTCTTGAAGGAGTTTGTACGTAGGCGTAGGCTGCCAAGCTGTTCTTGTGGAGATGCACTGGTATTCTTGAGCTTCCGTCTGTAAGACACATACCTTCTTCTTCGTTCACTCGCAACTCCCGGCCTTCTCGAAACAGCTTGCCTATGGCCATCAGCGGGTTGATCACCGAGGCAACGGTGAAGGCTTCCTGGATGCGACAAAAGCTTCCGTCGTCATCAAAGAACGTTAAGTTCAGCATCCTTCTGCCTTCTGTCTTTATTGCCTTTCCTTGTGCGTCCTGAATGGACGAAGGGCGAACCTTCAAAGGGGTTCCTTCTTTTCCTAGCCAAGAGGGCACAAGAGAAACGTCTGCGCCAGAATCCAGGATAACTTCGATTCTTTGGTGAAGATCACTTTCCTGGAAAAACTCTTCCTCTACAACGCGTACTGAGAGAACTTCTTGTGGTGGTAGTGCTTCACGTCCAAGGTACCAGTTTAGTAGAGGATCTTCTTGCTCTTCTTCGCTCTCTTCTCCTTCTGATAAAACAAACTCTTCAGCTTCCGTCACTCTCAAGACTCTTCCAAAGTACTCGATCTCGAGCTCTTCTTCATCTTCGTCAAGTTCAAAAACTTCAGGGTACGTGACGGGATCGTTGTCCATGTGGTACATTGCGATCTGCCGAACTGTTGGCTTAGCTGTAGACTTCGCGCTTGTAGTTCTTGTTGTTGTGGCTGCCGAAGCGCTACTGCTTGGAACTGTGGTAGGCTGTGTCCTGACGCTTTGCTCGTCTTCCTCCTGTGCATTCCTGACGTTCTGTTGCATGTCTCTCTGCTTGAGTCTGCAATTGGCTTCGTAGTGTCCAGGCTTTTGGCAGTAATGACAAACACCAATTCCTGGGTTGTTGTAGCCTTTACCTTTTCCTTTGCTGCTGTAGCCTTTTCCCCCGCCTTTGCCATATCCTCGGCCTCTGCCTTTTCCTTTTCCTTTTCCTCGTCCTTTTCCTTTTCCTCGGCCTTTGTAGTAGTACTGGCTTTCTCCTTTTCCTTTTCCTTTGCCGAAGCCTTTGCCTTTGTACTTGCCGAATCCTTTTCCTTTCTTTCCTTTTCCTTTATCTTTTCCTTTGCCTTTCCACCATTCAACTCGTGAAACATCCATGTCTGCTTGTCCTTGGTGGTCCTTTCCTGAGTTGATGAGGTCTGTGGTAGTCCACCTTGCTGCTTGCTCGTAGGAGAGGAGGTACTGTCGTAGTGTTCCATACTTTGTGGTCTCCTTCTGGTTGAGTAGAAGGTGCTGTCTCATGTTCCCTTCGGTTCCTCCAAGTATGATGGAAATCTTCATGTCGTCCGCAACAAGGTCTCCACTCGCTCTCTCGTACTCTTCAATCAACTCCTCAAACTTCAGGATATTTTCTTGTGTTGACCTTTGCTTGTCGAACCTGTAGTGAAGAACTCCGTTAAGTAGTTGTAGAGAACGTGCACGGTTGTGAGGCTGATGTTCTTCCACCAACAACCTCCATGCTTCGAAACCGTTCTCGTTGGGTACTTGCTTTAGAGTTCGTAGAGGACGGCCACGTGTATAGCTGGTGAGGATGGAATGTAGCTTTCTTGAAAGTGCTGCTCGTTCACCTGGGGTAAGTTTGCTCCAATCCCATGATGCTTCTCTTCTATCCATCTCGACTGCGTTGATCTTCTCAAGGATGTCGTTGTTGAGAGCGCCTATCCAACTTCTCAGCTTCAACCGAAACTCTAGAAAACCATCACGCTCTTCCTTGTACGTAGTAGGGCCAAAGACTTCTGGAGATTTGATCATCTTGTGGAGGTCGATCTCTCCTGGCCTTCTTGACTCTGCGTGCTGCGACAGTGCTGTAACTGCGTCTGCTGTAAGCTTTCCTGTTGCTGCAACCGCGTTTGCAGTAAGCTCTGCTTGTTGTGACAGTGCTGTGTTGGTTGCTTGGGTTGCTTCTGTAATTGCTCTCTGCTGTTGTGAAACTGACTGCGCGAGTTCCTGTAGTTGTTGTGAAGCGGTACCTGCCTGCGCTTGCTGACTGTTCATTGCTTGAGCAAGTGCTTGTATCTGTTGTGTGTTTTGGGCAGTGAGGTCCGTGAGCCTTTGCAAGGCTTCCTCCATCGCAACTGCACTCTGCATGTGACTGTAAAGCAACACAACATGCAACCAGACTCGCTTCTTGAAAAGAACGCTGCAAACTGACCTGTGCAACTTCCTTCTCGAAACTTTCTTCTTCAACTGTTCTCTTTTTGTTTGCTTAACTCTGACCCAAAAATAGAGGTAGATCCAAGTGACCATACCAAGCGGGGTCCCAAGTAGAAGTAGTACTGGGTGACACGCGCGCACGACGTAGCTCACGACGGGCTCAAGGCTTCTTCCTGCTTTCGCAAGGTACTCTTGAAACTCCAAAACCAACTCAAACACAAGGTTCTTGTAGTAGTTCACGTGGGGCACTTCTTCGTTCTTTAGGTTCTTGTTATACTCCGCGACATCATCTTCATGAAAACTGTAGTTGCAACTTTGTTCCTTTACTTCTGTTCTTGTAGAACTCGGAGTACACGTTCGTCTTCTTGAGGTAGCTCGTGACGTTGATCTCGTTCTCGTTCTCGGTTTGGTATTGGGCTCATGTAGAATGTAGATGCGACCACAACGTGAAAAGCTCTGTGTGATCACCTTCTTGGCTCTTCCCGGCAGGTACAGCATCCGCTGGGGTAATCTCCTTTATCACATGCTTCTTCTTGGGGTTCTTGTTGTCGAGGCTGAGGACCTTGTTCCTGTAGTTCAGCATGCGGTTCGTGGCCAACGGGTAG